GACTGCTGGTGTATAAGTGCCTGCATTTAGCGGCTTCAGTGTTTGTTGGTATAGGGTTGTCAGGGATGCTTATAGATTAAAGCAAGAGATAGGTTTACTCATGCTGGTTTTGAGATGGAAATGCAGTGGTGCAAATAGGAGGCTGTGCAGAACTTGAATCGCCCCGCAATGGTATTTGGCACTTTGTTCTAGCTGTGCAAGACAAGTCTTCTCACAGGAAACCAATTGAAATTCTGACTGTAGACCATGGCGACCTGTGGTCCCGCTATGGCAGCATGAAGTCGTGCTTGCGACTCTTGGCAAGCACCGGTTGCCCGACTAGCTTACATTCAAATGACGAATTGAACAGCGTCTGATATTCTTGGCGTGATAAAGCGACACGTCAGACTGAAAGGCCGCGCCAAGGATAAAGTTCAATGTGGTTCTAATTTTGGGCATCCTGCCGTGATCGACCTAAATTTGGTGTGAACCTGTATTAAGAGCCGAAGAATTCCTGGTCAAAAGACCGATTTTGACACGCAGGGACTATTCTGCACGTAGGGATTCACGTTAGGTTAATGTCGACGGTAGCGCCCCCAAGAACCCGCTTTCGAACAGCTCGTGCTACGCACGATTTAGCGCGAGCCCTTATATCTTTAATGACAGTGGACGCTATTGGATGGTCTTTGAATAAGATGGGGGTCTCGATTTCGACAGCCCTGGCATCGTCTGAATATTTCGAAGATTCTCCTTCAAATTGCAGACAGATACCCATCTGCGGCGTTTCAGTGTCGTACAATTCCTTGTCATTTAGGTACATCATGCAAGGATAATCAGATTTCACTGGCAGATGGTGAGAACCTCTCTATGTTGCAGTCAAACTTGACCCACTCTTTTTGCTTCGGCTCAGGACGCAATGTGGTGCTGAACACGAATGTCGTTGTCGTATTCGTCGATGATTGGGCACTGCCGCTTCCGATGAGGGCTAGATAATTACCATACTATTGGACCCTCATATTGCCGCCTTCAGCAATAGCAGATCTTTACTCTCGTTCTCACTTTCTTCAACTCCATGCAGGTAGTCTCGAAGCTGCTGTAGAGCTCCTGCGGTGTATGCATGATCTTTTCCCAGAGACTGAATCCGACCGACATACACTTCTAGCAGTAGGACACCTGACGTACCACGGTAGCCGCCATCATATTCCGCTGCTGCGAGCCGCTGAATAATTTCGAGCTTATATGCATGGAATATTCGGGAGCATGATTTCAATCTTGATAAAGCGTCTTTGAAGATCTCCACTGCCTTGGTGTATTGTTTCTTCTCCTGCAAAAGCCGGCCGAGCAAAGCAAGAGAATTGACAGCGTGTAGATCGGTCGACCCGGTGATCTTCTCTGCTTCAGAGATGCACGATAGCAACTCGGATTGGAGGAGAGATACAGGAGAGGCGTTCGTGTATATCTGGTGCCATATCTGAAAGTTCTTGCTGGAGACTCTTGATGCACGGGTTGTTCCATCATCTAATTGAACCATGCTCGACACCGCACGCTCAAGGCTTTGGCCGTGATGCGCGATCATGGCTTCGTCCTGAAGGCCAAAAGCAAGCAGATAATTGAAGAATGGAGCGAAGGGTTGACCAGCTTTCGGGGAGACTTCCAGCTTGCTGCAGCATTCGTACAGCAATTCGCGGAGCTCATCGTCGCGAGTGTGTGTTCCTAAAACAGTAGCCTTTAAACTGAGGTATGGGAGTAGCTGTTGTTGGTCACCACTATCAGCAAGAAACCCATCGAAAAGAGTGATCGCCATTCGCCTGTCAAATCGGAACAGTCCATTGTCAGTAGCAAAGTCGAACAGCGACGTCCAGGCAGCATCTGTAGCTGTCAATCTGGATAGTGGCGACATTGCCTTTTGAGAGGCGTTATAGTGGCAGTGACTTCGCGTTGTGATAGAGACCTACCGTTTCTTTATACACCTGGGTACGAGACATATGCAGAGCGCTAAGGATCGTGATTGGTGGTAGCAAAAATGCAACCTAACGCGGAGGGGCTTAGCTCGAAGTACGGCGCTGTGGTTACTGATTGGGCCTTAGGTACATGGCCAGTGAGTTGTGCACGGCGCCGCTGCGCATGTTACAGTCGTCCTTGCTAACCCCCCACATCAGACAGAATCTTCGAAGAAGGGTCATCCGTGCTTTGATGTGTCCCTCCTTGAACACCTATATAGTCTCGCACTACTGATTCGTGCAGTGTCCAGTTCTGCAAGTTGTCGCAAAAGCTGGTGAATTGGCTGGTCAGTTGCGTCATGGGCGTCGAGCGGCCAACGTATGCCACTTCTTGCACGGCGTGGCGAACACCCTGTGACCAGTTGAAATGCTGTGTAATCGGCGTCATGATATCGAGCCAGTTATCGACGCCTTCCAGCTGCACCATTCGAATGATTGGAAAATGACACAAATCGATATGCGCAGAATGAGGCACAGCTAGCTGGCTCTTCAGCGGCCGCATAAGGATGGACAACATCGCGTAGGTCTTTGCGCATGGCATGACATACCAGCGCATATAAGTACCAACGAAATGTACGAATGCAAGCTTTGTAACTACATTCAACAGAGGCCATGCTTTGGTGAATTCACAAGCCCAAGTTGATACCGTGTGATTATCCCCAGACTGGCGATCACGAAAGAAAAGGGTCAGGTCGAGTCCATTCATGGACAGAATTTCCCGGACAGAGGCGTCACTGGTAATTTGCGCTCGTGCTATGTCGCGAAATGAGAGCATTACATGAGCTGTAGTGTCTGACGTCTGGACTCTCGAAAAATTGAGCGGTAAGCGATACGGATCCAGCGGAATGGATCCCAACAGCCCGTGAGCTGGAGCGTCTGTCAGGGAACCGTCCGTCCCAAGGCCGGTCAACAGTGATGGATCAATGATTGGCGCAATAGCCATGAGGAGATTCTCATCATGCGCGGCCACTGGTTCGACGTGTAACAGTTCCTTCAGCCTCTCCGACGCGGTTGGAGAGGTGGCTTGTAACGCTGGAGGCGCGCTAGGCTGACTGGCGCCATCGGAACTGGGCGCTCTCGCGGACAGTATATTCTGCCAGTTGCACAAAAGCCTGAGGCGGACACAGTCGCCACATCTTGGACGATTTTCGTCACACTTCTTGCGTCGCTTCCGACACCTCAAGCATCCCGCTGTGGATCTCAAGCGAGTGCCCATCTGACCGCTTGCTGCGACGATGAACCACGGAATAGACGGAATTGCTGATTATGGACACTGCTGGTCGCGAAAACCCAGGCAAAACGCTGTCCACTTCAGATGGAATGGTAGTCAGAAGTCGAAAAGGCGCAGATGCTGGAACCGGGTAGAATATCCGATACAGCTTGGCGCGCCATGCTGTCTTGGATTTTAAAACCTGCACATACCCTGGTTTGTGCTTTACTCTGATTGTTACCTGTCTTCGTGGAGATTGCACTCAAAGGTTCTGCAGGTGCGCTGTGCTAGTAAATAGAGCGCGCAGTGGAATGCCAACTGCCGGCGACAGGACTTGAAGGCGCACAGGAGCTATGAGTCAAGATGTGTTCTACAGTAATCGGACATGCCCCTGCTCTCGCAACACAGGCCTCGTACCAATTCTTGGAGTGAACACTCAACATCCTCGAGTATTCCAACGCTTTGGCCGTGGCCGCTAGCATCTCCGGCAACTTTCTCGTAGCACGATGGGTTCCAGCGTGCGGTTTGGGTGATGAAGCAATCTACTGTTCGACCACCTGCGCCTATGACCTTGCAACGTGTGCCAAATCGACCACAAGCGGACGCACGAAGATTGCTGTGGGAGAAGGATCATCTGCAAGCTCAGTCTGAATGCGAGGAGTGATAGAAGCGTCAGAGGGGTAAAGGTGTCCCATGTCGACGGTCATGTTTCGTCGACGAAAATGCCAGCAAGGTCTAATTCAAGGCGTCCCTGGCTTTTGAATACCGCCTGGGTATTTGAAGGAGTGCGTTTCGTGGTACCAGCACGTGGTGTACGACCAGGCACTCTCTGCCATACATGGCTGCAAGAGATCCATGACATTTCCATCTCGTGCGTCTAGGCATTCTTTGATTGTTATGTTAGCTCTGTGGGCGCGTGATCAAGCGCTTGTCGCAATGGTCGTATCAATAGTCGAAGGTCCGCCGCAGGTGAACCGGCTTCCTGATTTCATTATTAGTCCACAGTGTCCATTTTTTCGACGAGTCCATACCCGACTCGCCATTCTTGTACAGAGTCGTTATAGGTGACTGCATCCGTGGCGCGAGATCAGATATTCTTTGGCCCGAGGCTATCGGTACCATCAACAAGGTCCTTACTGCAAGCACGAAAAACATTGCTGCTGTACCAACGTCCAGTGAAGGTTTCGCACTGGTGTTTGGGCATTGAGATGTTTTTTTCAAGCTAGTTGCACAGTTGCGAAGCTAATTCAAACACTAAATGAGAGAAGAATATAAAACTGAAATGGCAGTGGGAGAGGAGATCTCGGCAGTTAAATCAGGGAGTTTTTGAACAGAATCAACATGACAAGAAAGCTGGAACTTAGCCGCTGCACACTCGCCGCCTTTGTGTCGACACATGCCAGATAGAATGTCGTCCACCACGCCGACATGCCACAATTCGTATCACGGCGCGCTCCTATAACGACTAGATCAGCTGTGTCACCCAAGCCAGGAATCATGTCCTTCCTCATCTTTACCTGGTACAGCTAATAGTCCTTGAGAGCAAGATATGGTGCTTGGCAAGGTTTAAATACTAACCCTTCCCACTAAAGGGAGATCACATAGGCTAGTTGCTATGCCACATTAGTTAGAGCATCTTTGCTACTTATATTAATAGTTGTACAGTTATCCACTATAGTATATCCTGGAATTGATTATATAGTCTATACTAGGCATTATTATTGTTATATATATAACTTATAAATATAGTTAGTCTTATTAAGAAGTAGACAGTTAAATAAAATAACTATTAGATATTTATTAGGTATAGGTAGCAAGTTAAGTATAGTGCCGTGACGGTGACTAGCTTATAAAATATACTAGTAGATCTTGTAGAATAGTATAATATCCTACTATGTATTATTCTAGATCACTAGCTCACTAATCAGTATATATCCTATAGTAAGGTAGTAATCCTTAGTCTTAATACTAAAACATTTATGTACAGTTGGAATTAATGTGTTGCAATCTACAGTAGAATCTTATTCACTCTTGGAGAAGATCCTAATATTGATAGCACCCATTACTAGCAGCTGGACATAGATCTAATAATATTTACTGTTGTACTTGTATTTTACATAGACTACTTGTTGGCTAAGCAGTTAATAGTAGTACTAGATACTTCAGACCTTTTTAAAACTTAGACGTCAGATTGTGGTACCTAATTATGGTTGCCATAATAATGTCTGCTAGTATAGTGTATCTGGCTATGTATCTATCTGTTAATTTATAATTAGTGCTATAGTATCCTAAAGGCTATTATATACCTAAACTGCCCTCTAGAGTGCTGAATGGAGTAGATTTATAACGAGCTCCTCCGGCAACTAGGCTCACCTAAGGTTGCCTAGAATCAAGCGGCACATCTATTCGGCCTCAAGCCTACGCATTTGTTGCAGGATCGTGATCAGCCCCTGACGCGAGCTTTGCTGTTCGTCCTGGAACGCGTCGCGGATCTTTGGCGACGAGAAAGGACAGGAAGATGCTAGATGGCATGGGACACATCTCACCCCTCTTCCACCAATGTACGCACCATAATGGCAAACCTCGTTGGCATACCGCTTGTGCAGCTTTTGATGCTGCTCGGCGTTGTCTGGTACTCCGGCAAGGCCGTCATTCTGGAACCATCATATTTGACCGCTGCACACTTGCTCTACCCAGTCATGCAAAAGCTCGGCGGCTGGGGTGTCCTGATGACAGTGGACGAAATGACTGAAGCTATGGGCCCAGACTTCAAGGTCGCTTATGCCGTGCGTCCGAGTGCAGACGAGCCAGGTCACCACAACAAAGACTTCGTCAAGTACCTAGCACTTGTGGAGGAAAGCGAAGGCTTTGGCTACATCAGGGGCAGATATGGCTGAGCTGTATACGGGTCAAAACACCGGCAGAGTCTGCCCCACACCAGCCATGCTCCCTCAAGCAATGCTCTAGCTTCCATTGTGGAAATCATTCACTTATGGTACACTACAAACTTGATCGAAGATTCAAAGTTAAGAACGCTAATAATGGCACCCACTCCAAGGCACAGTCCATATAGTGCTCACGACACAAAACACAGCCGTCTACAGGTTTATCCTTGTCGATAATGGACTGCTGTGCCTTGAGCAGCCTGCAGTCGGAGTGGGATTCGTATTCCACCCTTGGCACGCATTCAGCTCAATGCTTCCTCGAATCTTGTGCCTAGGAATCTCGGCAGCCGTCAGTCGTTCCAAGTAGCCATGATTTGCCTTTCCGTGGCAGTCTTTTACCTCCGTGGTCTATACACAGTACAGCGACCAAGTACGCTTCCACTCGCTCACCCAATGCGAAAGTCCCCAAGGGTATACGGGAAGCCTGTTTATAGATGAGTCCAGATCACCATCTTCAAGTCATCATATCTGTGATAACAAAACACTCGAGCTACCTTACGTTGTGAGATAGAAAAGCGTTGTATGCTAGTGAGTACTACCGACTACTTTCGATGTTCCCTGCCTTTTGCTGTAGACCTCAACTCACATGACATATTCCTTCCTAGGTCTTCTCTCTACCTTACCACTATTAGTCACGCAATGGCCTATGCATTTAATATAGGTAAAGAGATCGGTGTTCCATCCTACGTGAACGCTCCTTCGCCTGTATACCACGACCCAGTCATCACCTGGAAGCCATGTGATCCAGACAAAACCGAACGAGTCCAGTGCAGCTCCATTAAAGTGCCTCTCGATTGGACCGGTGTAAATACGAATACGTTGACGATACCTCTGGCAAGATGGACGGCAAATTCCAGCTACCCTGACGCGAAGTCCATCGTCACGAATCCTGCTGGGCCTGGGGCAAGTGCCATTGAACTGATGCCGCAATAAATGACCCTAGAGGACCAATCAAAACCACCCTTCGAGTATATCACACTCGTTCAGTACTAGGGCGAGCTGGTCAAGCTGTGTAGGGAAAGACATGATCAGTATCTTTGCCTTCCGTTGTATCAAGACGTGACGTTTCATCTTGTTTAAGCGACGTTTTCATCTCGGAATAGTGTAGACGACATACGCGCGTAGTCGGATGGTTGATTCCAAGAACACTCGCAAACCCTGCGGTTGCTCTTCTATAAAGAATAGCAGGTTCGTCAGACGACGGTCGTTTGGCTAATAGATGAGCAAGACAGTATACACTCGTCAGCGTGTCTGGATGGTCAGGCCCAGGCACCTTCTCTCGCTGCGCCAGTGTCTACCGATTTATCCCTTCTGCCTCCTCATATTTGCCTTGGCCGTCTAGCGCTCGCGCTAGATTGCTCATGCTCGTCAGCGTATCTGGATGGTCAGGCCCGAGCACATTCTCTCGCCGCGCCAGTGTCTGCCGATTCATCCATTCTGCCTCCTCATATCTGCCTTGGTTATCTAGCGCTCCCGCCAAGTTGCTCATGCTCGTGAGTGTATCTAGATGATCTTGTCCTAATCTTAGTCTTCTTATTGCAAGAGCTTGCCGATGTGTCCCCGCCGCGGCTGAGTAATAGCCTAAAGTCGACTGGCATTGCCCAATGCGTCCAAGAAGTAACGCTCTTGCTGCATCGTCTTGGTCACTTGCCAGGCTAGCTACATAGTGCGCATGCGACAAATATGTTGACCAGACTTCCTTCCTCTCATGCCCCCCATACGGGATGAGCTCTTCAAGTCGCTCTCTTGCTTTTTCTACCCATGTACGTTGCTCACCATGGCCCGCAAGCCACCATCCCGATGCCAGGTGTACAAGACGGTGCATGTCAAAAAAGCGCTCGTCGCCTGGCCCTTGCAGCGCCTGCTAACGTTCCGTGATGAACGCGTAGCCCTTGAGCGTACCAATCGCTTTCACCCGCTGCACCACGGAGCCATCGAGAGGCAGTAGTGATTGAGCAATGCCGATCCGATCAATGCACGCCACGAACGACAGGTACTCAGCAGCAAGCGGGTCTTGTCGGCGTAATTGTTCGAACGAAATGTGCCATGTCTTGGCAACGGTGCTTTCTATATCTCGATACCGGTTGGCGTCTTCGAAATGCTGACCAAACAGATCAGCCGCAATGTCTTCCTGTTGCAACAGTGAGACATACTTTGATACCGAGACGTCGTTAGTATCCATGAAGGCCGCTGCTTGCACAATTGCAAGCGGTAGATATTCAAGCAAGCTGAGCAATTCATCAACAGCCTTTCCATCATTGAGAAGAGCCGGATTCGTAATTCGGCGCGCCAGCAGCTGTCTCGCTTCTGCTCTGCTCATGTCGTGAAGGTCTAAGATGGCACCTGGGGTGAGTTCCCCAGCCATCTTCCTGCTGCGCGTGGTGAATAGGATTTTGCCGCGGGTACTCCGTGGGAGGTAGTCGTGCAGTCGAACATCCCCGAGATCACAGTTCAGTCTCCGCAATAGGACACTAGGATCGTCGGTATTGTCGACAATCATCAGCCAATCACGTCTACTGTCCATAGATAGTGCCTCCTTCACCAACTGCTTGATGTTCGCATTTTCGTCCGTAATTTCGGGTATACAAAACGCAGCGCCGATTTCTCGATAGGCACGCTCAAAGCTCTCGTGACTGATCGCTGGCACCCAGAAAACCATGTGAGTCGCATTTGCTGCAAGGACACGATAGGCGAATTCGATTGCAAGTGCGGATTTCCCACATCCACCGAGTCCGCAGATCGTAACGCGAGGATACGCGTCTGAGATACGAAGGTGTTGATCCAGCCACCGCAGCTGATCCTCTCGCCCAACGTACAGCTCGTTCCTAGGAAAGGGCAACGACGGTGGGACTAAGCGCTGTTAGTGTCCAATCAAGAGGCACATATTCAACGTGGAATAAGGACACACCTCCAATCTCACGAAGACTTTCCGTTCCTTGACCCTTCTGCCGCTTTTTAATTTCCTCTTGGAGCCGCCGAGTGGCGTTTGCTTCCCCTTCGCCGTAGATAAGAGGTAGAAACACCTCGAAGACCCCAAGCAAGCAGTAGACCTTGTCTTCCTTCCATTTCTTCGTGCGGGTGGTCGCCCAGTTTATCCGTTGCTCAACACCAAAATTTGCAAGGCTCTGTCCACGCAGTGCTCCGATGGGAATCTGGGTGATCTGATGGATTTCCTGCTCCAGGGTCATCTTACTACCCAAATACTTACGCTCCTTAGAGAAGAACTCAACCGTGGCCGGCGCAAGAAGCTCTTGCAAAGTCCAGCCACGCCTGAACCATCGACTCCGTCGGAACGCATCCAGCCATGTTATCGGAATGCCTGGGCATCAACGACGTTGTCCGGCACAGAAACATCTGACAGGTATACATAGCACGTGTTCGCGCGCTGGTACCAGCGGAACATGGAGTTAATGGCTGTAATAAGCTCCTGCCCGTCCGACTTGTCGATGCAGCAGGTGTCCACCCAGAAGTACTCCAGGACATCCAGAGCAGCTCTTTCTGCACAGAAGCCGATCTTCTCGTAGCCGGCTTTGTCCATGCGTATACCGGCCACCAGCTCATTGTACATGACTTCTTCACCGTCAATCCAAGTGTGCGACAGGATCGCATACGGGGGCACAGCATCGTCGGCGAAGGAGATTAGCTTGAAGCTGCCGTTTGGTAAGTGCTGTAGCAGACGCATGTCGGTTCATGCGGTGCCCACGGAGAGGGGTTGATTGAGTTCGACCGCGCCACATGCGCAGTCAGTACGAGCTGCTTGCATCTGCATGTGACGCATCGAGCAATCTGGGAGCAGATTGCACGTAGGCGCTCTGTCGGCACATTTGAGGCTGAGAGGTCGGGGTGCAGCGCTGCTGACCGTAAGTTCATTAGCTTACTTTTTCCAGGTAGGTCGTTTCTTGGCATAGTTTGCCGTGGATGGGACCAGCTCGATGCGAGTGGATCTGGTTCAGGTAAATTAGGATTAGAGCTATTCCGCCGCTAATGTCCACTTTCGGTAAATTCCCCTGACACATGTGTAGACGCATTGCGAAGTTTGAAAAAGTCATTACAAGTATGCTGGAAGAAGAGTGGGTAAGCTGAGCGCACATGGTTGGCTCACCGCCAGAATCAGCTAGACCTAATGAAGGGCCATCTGACTCCATACTTTTCGCTGTACCAGTTGCCACGTACTGTATGATTTGAGTGCAAGGCCGGACTTGCAAGTCACTGTACTGTAGAGCCACGCATGTTTACATATGTTATTGGAGCCGTGGTGCGTTCCACCTGAAAACGCCGGGTGCGGGCCCTGCAACGACTTTGGTGGCTGCGACGGACCCGAAAGAAAGTGTACGCATGGCTTGGTCAGGGACGTGAAGAAGTTGCATGTGTCTTCAAGGTCTTGCAGGCTCTCTACGAATGGCACCATAGGTTTGATTCTTACTCCATGCACACGGACGACCTGATCCATCACTACCGTGAGACGTTTAAGCAGCTACTAGTACATGAGATACGGCGTGGTGAGATCCCTACTGATCCTGATGAAGACGATGAGGATCTGGACCCTGAGTTCAACTGGCTTCAACCCCTCTATACACAGACATACTGGACACGTCTTTGTCCTGTGCAAGAGCTCATCCTGGCCAACACGGTGATATTGTGTTATGGCCACAGGTCTGTCGAATTCGACGGCATCTACGGTCTCCATCGCATGTGTGGTTCGTTTGCTCAAGCTTTCGAGAGCGGCCGGTTTAACAAAACGAGGACCTTTCACACGAATAGACCAAAGCCTCTACGCACAAGAGGGTGGCATGTTATACAAGCCATCCGAGACCATAGACGCCAGATAATAGATCTGGATGAGGACAAGACTTCCAAGTATCCTCGAGGAGATGTGGTAAATCTCGACGAAGAAGTGGCCATGTAAGTAAGGGATCTTGAGTGCAAAAGGAAGAAGGATTATGTTTATGCACTTCGCGAGCTCGTCCCGCAATGGAAAGGAAAGGAGGGCATTGATGTCAACTATTGTCAACCCGACCTCGAGGTCTTCCGGCAGGCTGTTGATCGTGGTCTGCTTGATAGCAGTCATCTCCTACGGGGTGGTAGGAACTGTGCCTGGATCTTTTGGGACAAAATTGGTCTTGGACCGATGGAGCATTTCGCTGTGTTCATTGCGTCCTACTCCTCTTCTTGGGTCATGGGAAGCAAACTTCAATCAATATTTGCAGACTCTCATCAAGGCAATTCGACGACCGGATCAATTGATCTAGATACGTCTGAGGAATCGGCTGGCCCATGGCAGTTAGCATCGGCCGAAATGCTATAGCTTGTTGCCCAGGTTGGCCAAGGTCATAGGGCGCGACGAGTAGGCTTGAAGTTTGTGGTGTGCGTGAGAAGGGATCGTCTTTGTGCCATACATATTCCCTACCAGACATCATTAGTGATGTTCTGGTGCGCTATCTACCAAGCTTCGAGGCGGACCTCATCCTAGAGTCTGTCCGTAATTAATGCTGGTACCTCGCATCTGCACCGCAACCACTGAATCAGCCTGCTTCGTCTCAACAGAGACGCGTATCTAGCCCGTTGTCGATGGCTCTGATGCAGACTTTTGCAATGTGCATCTCCCACCCGATACAACCACTGGCCTCTGGCCCCGGAGATTCCGGCTAAGCGCCCATAACCATGGTCAAACCAAAGGATTTTAATGCAACGGTCCCACTGAGGTCTTCACATCAGTGTACGACTTACTTGAGAATCGACAAAATAGATTCACGACTAGATCTGTATGCTCCCAGGATGAGACCTTCCGGCGTGGCGACCTTGTTCATATCAAGCTCTATTTCGAAATCGGTCCCGGACGAAGAGACAATGTCGCACGCATCGAAGACATCAGGTCGCTTTCAGCTACTAATAAACGGAGGCTGGTACTGATCACCTGGCCGCGCAAAGGGATAGACTGTACGAGAGCAATCATCTGCAAATCGTGCTCCGGGATACCATTACCCGACGTGTCACCCAGGCCAAAGCGAGCAAAGTTCATCTCCGGCAGCTGTACAACGTATATGGTGGGAAGAGGTTCTGTTCTGACAAACAGGCCGAAGTGTGGCGTCAGAGGAAGGCGCGTGTGCTCAGTCTGGATCATGCATGCACATGCTCGCCCCTGACCAAGTCATGATTTGGGTGAGATATAGTATAAAGACTCCTAACCCACATATGAGGTGTATGCCATTCTATGTACCATCAAGTGCTGTTTGGTAGCTCCTAACTTGCTGCCACACATTTGCCCTATCTCATCGCCAGGACATACATTTCAAGGCATTGTGCTGCTTCTGGCAGACACTGGCTAGACAGACCAATGAGCCGCAACGTGAGAAAACAATTCGCACATGGTGTGCCAATGTCTCCTTGGACGGCCACGAGGACAGCCTGGACTTGTTGGCTCTGTCATCGTGCCTGTTTCCTCATCGACGACCAGACAGGGTCTACGGCTTGCGGGAGAAGTCGCTAGCCAATATTGTAATCCAAGCGTGGGTGATCGGTCCCAGTCGTGCTCAGCGCCTTCGTGAGTGGCAGTCGACGCACGATGCTCCAGAATTTGCCGTTATGGTGCGTAAATTGGTGGAAGAGGGGGGAGATGTGTCCCGTGTGCACGGCCCGCCCACGGTAGAAGAGGTCAATCATGTGCTGAGCCATCTGGCATCTTCCTGTCCTTTCTCGTCGCCAAAGATCCGCAACGCGTTCCAGGACGAACAGCAAAGCTCGCGTTAGGGGCTGATCACGATCCTGCAACGAATGCGTAGGCTTAAGGCCAAATGGATGTGCTGCTTGATTCTGAGCAACCTTAGGCGAGCCCAGTTACCGGAGGAGCTCATCATAAATCTGCTCTATCCAGCACTCTGGAGGATAGTTTAGGTATATGATAGTCTTTAGGATACTATAGTACTAATTATAAATTAATGGACAGATACATAGCTAGATGTACTATACTAGTAGACATCATTGTGGCGACCATAACTAGGCACTACAATCCGACATCTAAGTTTTGAAAAGGCCTAAAGTATCTAGCACTACTGTTAACTGCTTAGTTAACAAGTAGTCTATATGGAACACAAGTACAATGGTAAATATTATTAAATCTATGTCTAGCTGCTAATAATAGATACTATTAATATTAGAATCTTCTTCAAGAGTAGACGGGATTCCACTATAGATTGCAATACATTAATTCCAACTGTATGTAAATGTTTTAGTATTAAGACTAAGGATTATCACCTTACTACAGGATATGTACTGATTAGTAAGCTAGTGATCTAGAATAATACACAGTAGGATATTATACTATTCTACAAGATCTGCTAGTATATTTTATAAGCTAGTTGCTGTTGCGGTACTATACTTGACTTACTACCTATGCCTAATAAATATCTAATGGTTGTTTTATTTAACTATCTATTTCTTAATAAGACTAACTGTATTTATAAGTTATATATATAATAATAATAACACCTAGTATAGACTATATAATTAATTCTAGGATATACTATAGTAGATAACTGTATAACTATTAATATAAGTAGCAAAGATACTCTAGCTAATGTGGCATAGTAACTAGCCTATGCAATCTCTCTTTAGTGAGAAGGGTTAGTATTCAAATCTTATTAAGCACTATATCTTGCTCTTAAGGACTATCAGCTATACCAGGTAAAGATGAGGAAGGACATGATTCCCGGCTTGGGCGACACAGCCGATCTGGTCGTTATAGGAGCGCGCCGTGATATGAATTGTGGCATGTTGGCGTGGTGGACGACATTCTATCTGGTATGTGTTGACAACAAGGCGGAGAGTGAGGATCGTCAGAGCCTGCCCAGCTTTACCATCGTCGCCACCGTGTCCCGCCCGGCCATCACCACTGCCGACATACGGTACCCAACCGATACGGCAAAGCGCATTATCCATCCCCTTCTGATGCTTCTCTCACTCCGCGCATTCGGACCAAGCTTGCAGGTCATCCTCCGCCTTGCGCTATCTTCATGCGTCCGCTCGTGGTCGAGGTTGTGGGCGCGGGTTTTGACCGGTTACCCAATTCGCGGTTTGAGAGCCTCCGGTTTCCACGCATTGTCAAGGTGCATTTGGACCGCTCGTATACCGATGCGACAACCACCGAGCAATATGTGCAAATGGCTGCGAAGAGCAAGTGCTGCGAGATCGAGAACACCGCGGATAGCCTTCAATATCGGGCATCGAGACTCAACGGATCCCACGATCACCTGGAGGTTGCGTCGAGCTCGGCTTCTACAGGTGAACCAGCACGGCGATCACGGAAGCGAAGAAAGGAGGGTGAAGAAGTGGTGGTTGCTGATGCGGACAAGAGGGTCTGTACAAAAGATAAGGATGGAAGTTTCCTCGGTGTTGTTTATCTCGAGAATGATACAGTAGGTGCGGGAAGCTCCAAAGCTGTTATTAGAAAGTATGCTTGCATCAGCTTAAAGAGAGCATCGGTGTCTTGACACCGTTATTGCTATGCGGGATCAGCTCCATAGTATAGAACCGGAATAAAGAGTGAATTGGTCTCCGACGCACGGATCATAGCGACGGCTTGTCTGTTGTGGCCCGTGCGCGAGCCATGTGGTGGCAGGTAGACTGTTGGAGCACGATCTTCTCGATGTCTGAAGAAGATCACGTGAAATTGGTTAAGCTTTATCCTAGCCACACCGCCATAGCGAGCTCTAGTCGGAAAACTGCGCGGCTACAGTTCGGATGGAGAATGTCTATGTCGCGATGGGCATCCCGTTGACCCCGAAAGCATACCACGGAAACGCGTGGACGACTATGTCCACCAATCAGCGAGCAGGCGAGGTTTCAAGATATGCGACCGCTGGCCGGCCACCTTCACACACCTCGTACAATGTTGGGTCTCAGCATGTGATCTGGTCAATGACGTAACCTCAAGTAACAACTTCAGTCCATCATTGTGCGAGGTGTCGAAAGTGGCAGACACTCGACACGGTCAACAATCTCGGTATCCTCTATGACGTCCAAGGGAAACTGGACGAGGCGGAGCGGATGTACCTGCAAGCGGTGGCTGGGTACGAGAAGGCGCTGGGACGCGATCATAGCTCGACACTTCGGATCGTCAATAATCTTGGGGATTTCTATAGGAAAAATTGCAGGCTAATTAATATGCTTGAGTTAGTATCGCAATGGGGGAGCAAGGGTGTGGCTCTTTTTGGAGCGCTTGGTCGATTACTGCTCCAAGTTTCAGACGATAAGAGTGCGCAACGTGCATTCCAATATCAACATGCCTATCACGGTGGATCAACGGTCTACGCCTGGTGTGACGAGTGTGATGGTGGTATAACGGCTGAATGTGGTCGGACTGTGTGCCGGCATTGTGCAGATGTGGACCTCTGTCGAGCATGCTTTCGCCAGCACAATGCCGAGACTAGGACGAGACCGTCATGTGAGGGCCATTCTTTTTATGAAGTCATCTTGACGGGATCTGATGGCGTGCAAGATGCTCTAGCGTTGAAATCAGAGGTGTCGTCATGGTTTCAGGATCTCGTCATAAGGTATCCAAGGACAGACCTCTTAGACCGAACTCGGGCATGGGATCGTAGAGTCGCAGCGGCGTAATCACACAAACTTGTTTGGTACTGACCATACCGCTCACTTATCGTAAGCATCTCTGAGGTTTTGGAGATGGAGAGTTGTCTTCCTACTACCGGGTCGAAGATGTCACCTCTGATCGTCTGACATGCCCTTCACAAGACCCACGCCTGTGGTGCGTCCCACCGAACCAGAATCTCCGTCGAGCCATGGGATGCTGGGACCTATCAGCTGAGTCTGAAATGGAGCTGCATCATCAGCATGATGCTTCGCTACGGGTCCATAGCTTTGTGCCCATCCTTTAGGATTGTGATGGAATGAGCAAGTCTGGGGATCTTGCCCAGTATGAGGACTATGCCGACGCCCGTACACGGGGGTATCAGATATAGGGGATAAGGGATGTTATGCCATGGAGAAATGCGGTTGCAGGCTGGATCTGAGGCAGTAGGATGGGCACCGGTGGCGCACTGGAAACCGCGAGTATGAGTCTCAGTCACAATCATGTTGCCGAACAATATTCCAAAACTAAGTGGCCACAATACCTGCTTCAACCTCTGCGGGCCCTGGTCGACCAACGTCTTGCTACTGGAAACAGTGCCTGCAATATCGGGTGGACAAGGTTGTTAGTGAAGAGCTTGGAGTGAGAACGCCACCGCCGTCACCGATTTTGAATAACCCGCCAGCACGCCCCGTGACGCCCCTGTCTCAACATCTCACAACTTCTGCCAAGCGGATCCTGGAGCAACGTACGTGATGAGGTGGTAAGTCGGTACATATTCCGTGTTGAAGGGACTAGCAGATTTTTCTTCGACGAGTCCTCACTGAAAGAATACGTGTCCGCGAATTGACTTCAGGAATTCGGAGTCATCACGATGAGCGATTTGGGTCATTATTCCCATCGTGTGTGCCTTTACAGAGCATTCTCAGTATCGCAATGCGTGACAAGGCAGCATGATGCAAGGCCGGACTTAAGCGGTTAGAATTTTTGCAGCATCATATGGATCAACAAGACCCGACAAGCGGTCCTGATTTCCTTGGAGCCTGACCTACGCCTGCACCAGTGCGAGTGTTGTATATGGTCGTTTCGGTCAAGCATTCAATATCCCCTCGCCCGAGCATTAAACATGCTGCCATCCCCAAAACCCCGGACCCTGGCTACTGCTAACTCAACCAAGCCAAGCTTAAGAGTTTTCCACGCACTTGCACGGTACAATCGAACTCACGCTCGGCTAGGGCTGTTGCGTGCCTCTGAGTTTCCATCAAGAATTTCCGACCCACTAGGATCGGTCCGCCAAGCGAGCGCTCGAATCTAATCTACATGTTAATCTCACCGGAAAAGACCCCAACGTGAGCTTTTGAGCTTGCTTCTGTGCGAACATTGCCAATGCGCTGGTTGATCTTCCCAACCACGCTTGCAGGCATCCCCACCCAGGCCTGGGAGTGGTCCAAGGTTGTCACGTTACCAATCTGCTGGCCACTGCGATGAGACTGTGCTTGCGCAAAGACCACGCCACAAAACACCTGGCTGGACTCATGAACCTGTGCGCGATCCCTTAACTCGGTCATGGCGTGGACGGGGTGGTGTCGGCGGCGACGGTGGCGAAGGACATGGCGCGGACGTTCCCTGAGCTGCGAGGTCGGACTGATGGTGGGCATCGGCGGCGGCATTCCCAATCTGGCTCGCGGGGTAGACATCCGGCTGGGGGACGTGGTGGTGAGCATGCCAGACAAGACGTGGGGTGGAGTGGTGCAGTTTGACCATGGCAAGGCAGAGGACGGCGGGGTGTTTGTAGTCAAAGGACAGCTCAACCAGCCGCCGGAGATGCTGCTACGGACGCTGTCGCAGGTACAGGCGCGGCATCGACTACGGCCTAGCAAGATCATCCAGTATATCGATGAGGCGGTGGGGAAGAACTCGATGTTGGAGGACAACGGGTTTGTGCGGCCCGATGTGCCAGACCGGCTGATGTGTACCGTTTGCCACACCCATATTGACAACGCCGCTGGCGGGTGTAACGGCGGGCATCAACGCAAGGTACGGAAGAGCTCGGCGCCGGTGCTGCATTACGGCATCATTGCCTCGGGTAATGTGGTGGTGAAGGATGCGGTGGTGCGCGACCGGCTGCGAGATCAGTATAGTGCGCTCTGCGTGGAGATGGAGGCGGCCGGGTTGATGAACGACTTTCCGTGCCTGGTGATCCGGGGGATCTGTGACTACGCGGACTCTTCTAAGAACGACGCGTGGCATTTGTACGCGGCGATGACGGCGGCGGCGTACGCGAAGGAGTTCTTGTTCTACGTGTCACCGGCACAGGCCAGCCAGGAGCAGCCGATCCGTCAAGTCGTTGGTAAGTAGCGCTATCAGACAAGTCGACGATCAGCGGCGGTATGGTTAAACACCATTTGTATTATGACACTGCATGGTGTTTTTCTCCACTATATGGGATCATGGCGCTAACTATCATGGACTGTAGGCATTCTTGACGCGGTGCAGCAGGCCACGCAGGCCCACGCTCAGGCATTACAGGCTCAGGTGCGGCACTTTGAAAATGATGAACATCGCCGCTGTCACCAAGCATTCAAGACGAGTAACTATGAAGAGCAGAAGGACAGGAACCCGGACCGGGTGGACGGGACGTGTCAATGGGTGCTACAACACGAGCAGTATCGGCGATGGCACGACAGTGGAGGTAGTGGCCTCTTGTGGATCTCGGCGGATCCAGGATGCGGCAAGTCAGTGTTGGCCAGGTCACTGGTGGATCACGAGCTGCGAGGCTCAAGCAGGCACAGCATCTGCTATTTCTTCTTCAAGGATAACGAGGAGCAGGACCGTCTCACCACGGCGTTGTGCGCGCTGTTACACCAGCTGTTGGCGCAGCAACGGCAGCTGATCCGGCACGCACTGGCGATCTACGACCCGAACAAGCCGGAGAAGGTACAAGACGATGCGGCGGTGCTGTGGCGGACGCTAATGGCTGCCGCACGTGACAGCGATGCGCAGGACGTCACATGCGTGCTGGACGCGCTGGACGAGTGTCGACCACAGGATCGTGCTGAACTAATCGATAGGCTGGCGCGGTTCCATCAAGACACACAAAGGCAGCCCAGCACAACACGTACTACGCGCTTGAAGTTTCTGGTGACGAGTCGACCGTACGATGATATTCAGGATGACTTTGAGCGCACGTTGCGAGACCTCCCTGCGATTCGACTGCGAGGAGAGGAGGAGAATGAGCAGATCCGTGCGGAGATCGATCTTGTGATCAAGATGCGTGTCGCGGAGCTCAGTTCGAATCTCGGACTGTCTGAGGTCGTGCGAGATGGACTGCAAAACACGCTTCTTTGCATGAAACATCGAACATACCTGTGGCTCTATCTGGCCTTGGACGACATTAAACCGCAACTAAAGAACAGTCGTCGACCGCAGCTGGAGTGCGTGAAGCAACTTCCGTCGTCGGTGGAAGATGCGTACGAGAAGATCCTCGGTCGGGTTCGTGAGTGTGAGAGAGCCAATGCCCGAGATATTTTACGCATTGTGGTGGGCAGTCGACGGTCACTTACGGTGCGGGAGATGGCCATTGCATTCGGGATCGCGGATGGGCGCGCTCAGGGAGTGGCCACTCTGCAAGACGCACGTCTGGAGCCTCAATGGGTGCAGGCCAGCCTTCGTCGGTGGTGCGGCTTGTTCATTTTCTTCAACCACGACCGAATCTTTCTCATCCACCAGACTGCAAAGGAGTTTCTCTTAGCCGACACTCGCATTTGCGATCCCCCGTGTGGGTGGAGATGGAAGCACTGTCTTGATGTCGGTGAAACAGAGATGCAGCTGGCACAGATCTGTACGAATCTGTTGAGTTTCCAGGATGTCCGATCTACCACTCGGGAATTGACGAGGCGGCTCGATCCCTTTTCACTGGTTGCGAGCGTGTTAGAGCAGGATAATGAGAATGAAACGCTGGTGGCGTATGCGGCAGAACATTGGCCGTCACACTTCCGAGCGGCACAAAGTGTCGCTAAAGAGGGATATGTTGATGAGGGATATATCGATGAGCTGACCCCATTCTATGATGCTGGTGGTGACTTACGGCAGCTGTGGTTTTGTATCTACTGGCGAGCAACCGAGCAGTACGAAAAAGAGCCAGCTGTTAACAACCTGCAGCTTGCGGGACTTCTAGGGCATGTGCAACAGGTGGCTCGCACTTTGCAGTCAACGAGTTTATATGGTATCAATGATGTTGATGAAGATGGCAACACAGCCTTGATCTGGGCCAGCCGATATGGCCACACAGCGGTGGTGCAGATGCTGCTGGACCAGGGAGCGGATGTCCATGCTCAAGGAGGCTACTATGGCAACGCGCTGCAGGCGGCATTAGATGGTGGCTAGGAGACGGTGGTGCGGATGCTGCTGGACGCAGGTGCTAATGTCAACGCTCAAGGAGGCCACTATGGCAATGCGCTGCAGGCGGTATCAGATGGTGGCTACGAGACGGTGGTGCGGATGCTGCTGGACACGGGTGCCGATGTTAACGCACAAGGAGGCGAGTATGGCAACGCGCTGCAGGCGGCATCCTGGAATGGCCACGAGGAAGTGGTACAGATGTTGCTGGACCAGGGAGCGGATGTCCATGCTCAAGGAGGCGAGTATGGCAACGCGCTGCAGGTGGCATTGCTCCGTGGCCACACAGCAGGTGGTGCAGATACTGCTGGACAACGGGGCTACTAGCCTTCCTGAGAGGTAGCAAAACACAGTCTTCGCTTGGTTCAAATGTCTTACAGTCTGCGGAAAGGTAGTTATCATGGGTCATAGGGCTTCAACGAGCCGACATGTCAAGTTGTCATTACAATAAGCGGAGAGATATTAACATCTATTGATTGGATGAAGTTCGTTCGTGCACTTAACTTGATCAGTCATAGTACATGCATGGTGAACTCCACTAAACATTCTAAAAACGAACTGTTGTGCCACGTGAATTTTGCAAGGATCTGTAAGTGCGGTGCGTCCTGGGGCAGCGACACAGATAGCGGGCGCGTGGGGCCTGGACGGCCCGGAGCCGAGGAAGCAGCATTCATGACATCACGATTTCTATGGGTTTTAAGTTATCCTCTTAAGGCATATGTAGACCCCTTCTACCAGGACGATTTTCTTCTTTCTCCCAATTCGCCATTCCTGAAAATATTGATCTTTGCACCCGGGCTCACCTGCCATAAGACCAAGCATATAGCAAGCTCCGACGTGAGATCGAAATAGTGAGAGCTCTTGAGGTTGAGAACTAAGTCTCTTTGATGGACGAAATGCAACAGGAACTCTACAACGTGGATGGATATAGATCTCGTCCCCAAGGCATGAAAGAGGTGGCATTATCCCGAAGTATCCATTGCGTGTGACTGCAAATCGACTTCCCATCGCCAGGTTTAGTTTCCAGTGCTTTGCGAAACCAGTTAGGACAAACACATTCACGCTCGTATATTGACACGGGCGGCTTCAAGGTATCCCACATTCGATCGCACGAGCTTGGACCTTAAGTCTGATCGCCGCAGTCTTCTACACAACCAAGAAGCTATAAATTGTGTGCATACAAGCCCCAGACCTAGGGTATGCCAAAGGTCAAACTCCTCTACGTTACGACGTTGTTTCCAAGGCCTCCTAGTCTACCAGCTGCCCTCGTCACAGTCACCATCATACAACAGCGACTACGCCATCGATGCGAACCGCAAATAGGCCGGCCCCGGAGCCCTACGAGCAGCAACCTGGAAGCTAAAGCAAACCCCCGAGCAGCCGAGCCTGTCCACTATCCCATCAGCCTTTCATGACAAGACGGACTTTTTCGCTTCGGTTGTCTCCATCAGAGTCCAGACCAAGACACCCCCCAGTGGCGACCCTCCGCTGATGCGTGTCCACAAATCCGTCAGGGGGAACGCTGATTAACACGGCGCGAGTAAAAATACAAAGGCAAACATGACGGGCGACGAAAGGAGACATTCTGCCGCTGCGAAGGAAGCACGGGCCGACGGCTGAAGCGAGACGAGGACGTGCCGACCAAGCGCCTGGAAACCAGTCCTGCAATTCCGGAATGCACAGCGATCACGCACCTGGAGCGCCTGGGAGTTTGATCTCGCGCCTGAGCGGGCCCAACACGTGATTATCTCGTGGGCGGGTGCAGTAACTCGCGACTAGAACTTCCCAGCTCACTGATATCAACTCAAGACTACATGATGAGACGTCTAGGATGTCAAACAGCAACATGGGTATCTCATTAATCATTACACAACTCATAGCACGGTCGTAGTAGTATCGTAATAGGGATATATGGGCTGCTCAGTGCAATCTGCTCTGCCCATACGAGTACACGGGAGGCCCCTCCCTGCGAGACCCCTTCCCGCTAGAGCTGACCGCTATTTGTCGACCTTCAACACTGCCGGTTCTTGCGCCGGGCACCCTTCTCGTGCGTATGACTTTCATCTGCGGGAGTCTGTGGAGCAATTGATGCACTTTGCTCAGTTGTTGCTTGTTTAGCTTCCATTATTCAGTGTTCTTGTCGTAGTGGCTTGCCACCTTCTCCAGCGGCTGCAAGAGTCTCTGCTCCCAGTCATGGTGGCGAAGCATGTGACAATCAACTACAGGATCAGAGCGCTTGGCTGACTCTCTGGCCTTTGCAAACCGTGGCTGAAGCTCCTGACCTCGTGATGTCGCATCATCAAGAAGTCATCGCACGGCATGGACGCTATTCGCGGCAACTGTGATGTCGTCGATCATACATGACTTTGGACCCGCAGACAGTGGACCCAACAGCTGCTCGGGCCGGAGAAGGCGGGCAAAGATCGTAGGCCAGACTTGTTCATCGAGCTTGAGAGGGTAGAGATCAGACTGTGACAGGTAGATGAAGATGTTTGCACAGACATAGACGGCGCAGTCGGCTCCGTTTGGCTTGTTAAGATCCATGCTCCTCGATAAGCCATTAAGATACCAGAGGCAGTTGCTCAGACTTCTCAAACCTAATGATCTGATCACAGAGCTCTTCCCGCACCTTGACTCCGTACTTGATAAGGCTGTCGGACACTGCAAAACGCTGAGCCTTGATGTCGGCGATGCCGATGACCCAGTGATCTTCAGCGACACAGGGGAACACAAGATAAAAGGAACCCCATGGCTTGATATATTTGCCGTCGACACAGACGATCTATACGCCATCGCAAGCCAGCAGCCCAACAATGTAGTCAATTGTTGTGCCCGTGAGCTATTTGTTGTCAAGCAACTCCGTCACACCCTAAGAGCGATGAGAATGCTCTTGCGCTGCAGCCTCATACCGTCAACCTCCTCAAACTCGGAAGGCTGCACAGAATGCGTCGTTTCTGGACCATTGCTGGAATGTGTCCGCTGCTTTTTCAGTAGAGGTTCCTTATATCCGTCCTGTGCTGAGGTCTTCTCGCCTCTGCGCGTTGCCGCATTTGATGGTGGAGGCTCCTTTCCTGGTTGGCTTATCACTGAATGGGTGCTTGCCTCGCCACTTTTGTCAACGGCTTCAGTGGGTAACGGAGCCGCTGAGATCGGCGGTCAGCCACTGTTCAAGACGGCCTGGTCAATGGCTGCATCTGAAACATCGGAGTAGATTGCGGCCAGCGGAACCGCGCAGTTTGCCTGCTTCTTAGCTGACTTTGAAATGTCATAGGCGGGTGCGGCTGGCGGAGCTGAACGGTCTGAACGGGATGGCTGGGGTGGTGTTGGAATTCGCTGGGGCGGATTGTTCGCCGACAAGACACTCTTCTCGATGTTACTGAGGCCTTTGAGCTGGTGTAGCGCTGGTGTCAAGGGACGCAGGTGTGGCAGCTGCGGCCGTGGAATTGCTTCAGAATCACCAATCCCGTATTTGTCGCCGGAGGCGCACGGATCGATCACTCGCGTCGAAGTCACTTAGAGCATTGTCCTTCAATGTCGCTTGCAAACTCCAGCCTCGTTCCGAGTCAACCGAAGATGTAAGTGAGTTGCTGCCAGCTGAGTCAAGATCTCGATGCCGTCACAGATGTCGCTGACCGCGTCGTCGAGGTACAAAACAAGGCGAGAGTGTACGCGCTTTCGAGGCCTGATGCCAGCAAACAGACCTTCGGAAGCCAGTAGGCTGCCGCTGGCCTCACATGCAGTGTATCGCAGACGGGGTGGTTGAGATCAAAGAGTATTGAGTTGTCTTTGTTCTTGAGCTTCTCTGCAGAGGGTTTGAAGATCGCACCGCATCCCAAGTGTTGATCGCAAGGTTTTGGCGAATTGCGGTAGCACACCCAGGCTATCGTCACCCTCAAACAGCTGCCTGAGCCTTTGCTCAGCCCGTTCATCGTGACGGGCCTCGAATGCGGTGTCCGCTTTACTGATTGATGGACTTGTCAGACCAGCAGTGGCCTGACAGGCGCTATACAAGTAGCGTAGTGGTTGAACTCACAGTGTGTCAAGCTCGCTCTCTGTTCAAGCTCTGTTGCAGAGAGCCCGGAGGCTGCGCCGAAGACCGCCCGTCAAACGGCCGTGGTTGACAAACTCTCGCAGCACACCAAGGTTGTCGTCGTTTGGGAAGAGTTCTCCAAGTTGCTGCTCGGCTCGATTGTCTTCGTTGGCTGCGGTACACTTCGTGGCCCTATACTTGAAGTTAATGTAGAATTTTAAGCCTCTACTGCCCGGAATATCCTTCGCTGCGTCCGCCCTATGTTCGCCGGCGGCACTATACACTGCCCCCGCGAGCGCAACAGGTTCCTTCGTCTTCCATCAAGAGAGGAGAGCAGCGATGAGCTCCAAGCACTTGTTTGTTGGATCTCTGGTGTCGGCTTGAGATGAACTGCGAGCTGTGCGCGGACCGCGTTCTCACGCCCTCAAATCGAGCCGATGATCAGCTCTCGTAAAGTTCGGTCGCCGGAGCTTCGCGTCTGTATGAAGGAGGCTTGCGCGCGCGCTGACTGGCGGAGTCTTGGGGTCATGAGGACTGGCACAGAGGTCAGAGAACTGATGCCAGGATTCTGCCGGCGCCGCAAATCCAACCGGCGTGTTCGTACATCAGAGCCGGTACGACCATGCTGCGCGAGGTTTGTCACCGTTCGTCGCCTGGGCACGATCGAGCTTAGCTTAACCTTTGGTGTGGAGGGAGCGAGTACGGCGGACTACAGTGGCCTGAATTGCAGGCGCAAGCTTGCACCGTTGCAGCCTTGCCTCAGCTAGGCACGTCACTCTGGACTCGTCGGTGTTAGCGAGAGACACCTGACACTGCCCAACCTTAGGCTTGTGTCATCTAAAGGGAAGAGGCGACATTTCCGAAGCCTCGCTTATCGGACTGCCTGGCCAAGGAACCCGGTCCAGAGGCACTGTCCGTGATATCTGTTGCAGGTGAGACTCGAGAGTTGCGTACTTCTGCTCAGACTTGTCGCTTCTTTGTCAATACTGAAAGCTTGTTGTTAGCTCAATGACCTTCCACCAACACTCGTCGCAGGGGCCATCGAAAATTCATGCTCTGGGCGATGCCGGATGTTATGGGTCGCAGCCCCGCCAGGGTCCGCACCTCCGTTAACATTCGCAAAGGGCTAACATATCTTCGGCATCTGGTGGTATTTGTGATCTGAGATACCGGCTCGCTCAACGGGAACCAAGACTCCTGGGTGCAGCGGCTTCGCCGACAGCATCTTCACCCTCTACATCAGGCCCGCAAAGGAACGTACACACACAATTTACTGACGCCCGGCGACTAGGGCGAAAGGGCACCTATCGAATAGACTAATATTACACATCCAGTATTAATGTCCTTCTCCCATCGAGCACATATGCAAAGTCTCCGGCCGTTGGTTCACATCTCACATTTCTCTTCGGGTTGCTCGTGGTTTAATAGCTGATTAGTCGACGGGCATGAAGGCGATTATCCAAGTGTTCAGCGTCCTATCTTCCGCGGCTGAAGCGGTGTCGGCTATTTGCGGTACGAGGTAATAAGTAGAGTAAGTCGGGGCTATGGCGTCAGGTCGCTGTTGGCAGACCGGTGGTTAGTTCAGGTTGGTTTGCGTCAAGTCGATCTGTAGCTATCGCATACTGTACCTCCTTCACCTGTTCGTATTGAGGATTGTAGATAGCCAAAAGGATTGGCAGATACTGTCTCGTGTGTTTACAAACTGAAGGACGCTGGTCTGTGGCGTGAGCAAGCCATGAGACTGCCATAAAGTCATTTCGATGCCGGTGGCAAACAGACGATCGCCCAACAATGCAGCTCGTACAGTATGCAAATGAGAGCGCTGCCCGCATACCTAAAAGTGCCGAAGGAAGCATCAAATCTGGTGATGAGAGAATCCCATGAGGAGATTGTACAAGCCTTCGAGACGAAGAACATCAGTCCAAAGGGGATCTTATTTGACCCTGAACGCGTCACAATACACCGCCCGTAGAATGATGGTTGCTAGCTGCTGTTTCAGGATATACGGCCGCAGGTCGACCACTTTTGCCACCTCACAGTGCGGTGGGAAGCTTTCGCGTGATTAATCTGTGCTCCCGCTGATTGGCTACGTTTCCACACCTCGCAAAATGATGGCCAGAAGTGAATGCTTTAGAGATTGCGACATCAACGCGGATACGCAATAGATCGATCTGCCAACGAGAACAGCCTGCGAAAGCCCCCGATGTTGCAGAGAATGCCTCCGCCAATTCCAAATCCTCTGACTACGTTTACAGTAGCATTCGACACCACTGCCCAATTCAATACGTACGACACTGCAGTGAGGACGAGGGTCCTGCTCCTCATGTTCGTGCAACTTTCCTTGGGCTACCATCTCCTCAGCTACAATTCTCTCGCCAGCAATTATGACCTGGAATAGGTTCTGACAAGACAAATGAAGTCATGATTGCGAACACGAAGTTTAAAACTAGAGGTGCGTCGTTCTTGAGGGTTCAAGGGACACAACGCGGACCTCCTTTCTCTTCACATAATCTCCTCCTTGACGCGTCATCGTGTGCCCGACGCGTGTCCTGATATCCTTTGACTGACGTTAGCCGGCCTTGGTGCGTGTGCTCCGCCTTTGGCGTAGGGAATGTAATGGCAACTCAAGTGGGGAGCGGGTCGCCAAGATTCATTATCAAAGAACCAGAGTACGCGTCGCCTTGGCAGACCGTCCAGGCCGCAGCTGGTGCGTGGATTATTTCCTCGAATAGGCTGATTGCTACTGGATACAAATATTCGCTGAATTGGTTGACCGTTACTGTAACGCCGTACCTATCTCGGCGCGAGACTAGGTCAGACGCCATAGCGAATGGAAGGTATGTAATAGCATGTCGCAAAAACTGTGCAAGGAATACAGCACTATGATAGCGCTTCAGATCACAAACGAGGACGGACTGACTGGGTTTATGTAATCAAAGTGACTTATGCAATGCCAAGCACTGTCTGCTCGCCCTCACATTGTCTTCTTCACCTTCGGCATCGTCAACGCGGCCACCACGACCGGCAAAACGCTTACGATTTCTCCCAGCCCAGCAAAAGCAGGTGGAATCCTGATCTTGACGAACGCCCCTCCAGCCAATAGCACTGCAAGGACATTATAAGTAGCCGACCAACCAAAGTTGAACATGATTCTGCGGTACGCAGCCTTGGATACGTCAAGCAAGCCCAGCACACCGTCCAGTCCGCCCAGCAGCACCACATCCGCGGTGCCGCGAGTGACGTCTGATGCCGATTCGCCGATTTGCACACCGACATCGGCTTGGGCCACTGCCACAGCGTCGTTGGTCCCATCGCCAATGAACATAGTTGTTTTCCCTTGTTCCATTAGACCGCGGATATACTCCTGCTTCAGCGCCGGGGAGCACTCGGCGTGGGCATTCTCAGGGGATATGTCGAGGGTCGATGCAACGGCTTGCACGGCAGGGATGATGTCGCCCGAGAGTATGTGCACCGCAATTTTGCGGCGGACGAGTTCCCGGATCACATTCGGCGCATTCGCACGCAGGGTCGATTTCAGGCCAAAGATGGCGAGCGGCTGTCCATTGAGAGTGATACACAGCAGAGTACTGCCTTGCTGTTTAAGGGCGAGTACTTTCGGGTGGGCATCGACCTCAAGCCAGCGGGGATTACCGGCGCGGAGGGAGAGATTGTTGTAAGCGGCGTCGATGCCACAGCCGGGAACGGAGACGACATCCTGAAGGTTGACAGGGTGGCATGGTCGTTTGGACAGAACGGAGGCCACGGCCTGAGAGACAGGGTGTTTATTGTCTTTGACCAGGGCTAAGGCGATCGAGTAGACATCTGTTCCCGGTGCGAGGTCTCCATGTGCGAAAACTTCCTCGTGCACGACGTCAAGGTTTCCTTCGGTGAGAGTGCCAGTCTTGTCGAAAACCACGTCAGTCACCTTGTGTCCACGCTCGGTGACGTCGGCGGTCTTGATAATGATACCTCCTTGTGCGGCAATGCCTCCAGCAACCACAAGGACCATGGGTACGGCTAGACCAAGCGCACAGGGACAGGACACAGCTAGGACAGCAATACAGTAGCCGATGGCGGTACCAATGGCACCGTCGACGGAGTCCCTCCGGCCCCGCAGGCCAACAATTAGCCACACGACGAAGACGATGACGGCTGCGGTGCACACGACCGGAATGAAATAGCTGGCAACCTTATCAGCCAAATCCTGAATCCGTGGTTTAGAGCTCTGGGCCTGCTCGACTAGGTTCGCAATGTCGGTGATGGTGTTCTTGCCTGGCAACCTTGTCACTTTTGCCTTGAGGGACCCGGCGCCGTTGACTGTGCCGGAGATGACAGAACTACCGACAGTCTTCAGCACCGGAAGACTTTCGCCTGTCAGCATCGACTCGTCAACCTCGCTTGTTCCCTGTGACACATCGGCATCAGTGACAATCTGAGAATGGGGTGGAATGATGATGGTATCTCCATATTGCAGAAGACGTGCGTCAATTTCGTTCGTGATGTCCGTTGCTGGGTCGAGTAGCATCGCAGTGGAAGCCTGCAGCGACCTCAGAGACACCTTGGAGACAGCTCGTTTGCGAGCCCAGGCGGCAAGAAGTCGACCGAGAAGGACCAGAGTGATAAGCAGAGTACTTGTCTCGAAGAATGGAGACGTCTCGAGATCACGGCCATCGAAAATAAGACCAAACGCAACGACAGAGTAGCCGTACGCGGCCGTGATGCTGATGACGACAAGCATATCCATTTCTAGGACCCTGTTGTAGATCAAAGCGGAAATAGCAGGTTTATAGAACTCGGGATATGCGAGTGTCTGGACGACGGTGGCGAGGACCAGCGAGATGATGAGGACGGTGCGGTGAGGGATGGTCTGAAAGTCGCCCCATTCCATGACTACCACCGGCATGGTGAAGACGAAGGCCGCGAAGGTTAGCGAAGCCACCCAAACGAGCCTGCGATGGCCCGCATCGAGGGTTCTGTCATTGCGCGGCGGCGCCAACTGACCACCCGAGCGGTCAACCAGCTCCCTTGCACCAATCAGGCACGGGTCGTAGTAAACCTCAAAGACATTCTTCAATACTTTGGTGCAAGAATCGACGCCGTATGGCAGACTGTCCTGAAAGCTTTTCGCTGTGCGCGTGTCCAGGACGAGATCAATGGACTGACTGTCCGCCGAGAAAGGCACCAATTGATAGCCAGTGGCGCGCTGCGCGAGACGGATAGCGTTCTCGAAGCTGGTGATTTTGGTGTCGACATCAATTTCAGCCGTGTTGTTGATAAAGATGACCTGGACATTGGACACTCCCGGGACATTTTGGAAAGCACGAGTGAGGTTGTTGGCGCAGCCTGAGCAATCCATCCCGGTGACGTTGAGCAAGAAGTGCTCCGTTGTAGCGCCTTTCTCAACATCACCGTGGCTCAAGGAGGCAGCTGTCCGCTCCTTGGAGGTATCAGGGTCCTGTTCCTGGTCGTGGTCATGATCACAGGCATGTTTCCCAGTATCGTGTCCATGATTATGGCCATGATGCCTATGCTCATGCCCCTCGGTGTTCAAGGTTCTGGTCGTCTTCGCAGTATGGCGCCGACCCACGGTGGAGCGGTCCTTGCGGTACAAGTGGCCAGAAGAGACGCCATGAGGCATGGGAGGGGCAATGGGTAACATCGACCCAGCGCACCCTTTCTCAATTTTAGAGGTAGAGGCCAGAACGCTGCGGCAAATGCAGCGAGCGGTCTCAAGGTACGCCGAGTACTTTTCCATTGCGGCGAGGATGTGGTTGTCGCAGGCCTCGCTTCCATGGAGACCAACTTCATCGTGCTCATGGTCGTGAGGATGGCCGTCAGCATTGGCATGGGCGTGACCATGCTTCTCCTCGAGCTTGTCAGCGTCACTGTGGCAGTCTTGTCCGGCACACTCTTTGGTGGCGGTCTCGCAGGCGAGCTTGCACTCGAGTGCAGCAGCAGCCTTGATGCAGGCCTCTATGATTTGGTTAGCAATCTCTACTATCTATTAGGGGTCAAGCTGACCGTCGCATTTCTCATCCTGGTCGCAATACTGAGGGAGGGTGCTGGCGCTCGAGGCAGCAGTGGAGGGTGTGGCTTGGGCATGGCCGCAGCAATCTCCCAGGCACTCTGCCTCAGGCTTCTCTGCTGAGTTGCTCATGTTGTGTCTAGGTCAGCTGTATAGGAGTTGGCAGATTTGTGATGGTGTTTGTAATTTATTGTGAGATGTGAGTGCCGAATGGTTGATTAAATAGCGAACGCGCCGGGAGGCGTACGTTTCCTCTTGCTGGGGATGGGCATCATGATTGGAGAACAGAAACCGTACAACGGGGTTGTAACGTATGGATTTAGGGGGCGCTTGGCGTGACTCATCTCGCCTGGACCTCCTTGAAAGGACCCTAGAACGAGAGTTTCAACGAGACGCAAGCCGTCCAAGCCCTTACAAGGAAGCCACATCTCCCTCGGCGGGAGGGCCAGTCGCAGACCTACCACCGAGGCTGGAAAAACACGTGCTGAAATCATTTACTTTCTGTGGCAGGTCGCGAGACCGATACATTTGATCAAACCAGCTGTGCACTTCTCGGTGCCGCGTGGCGCCGAGAGGTCTTCCTGTCACTCGTAGATCGGAAGCAAGGAGGCGAACGACGAATCAAGGTCGTCCCCAGACTTAACAACGAATCGTTTCACCATTATATTCTCGTGTGGGTATCGAAGTAGTGTAGTCGCAGAAAAAACAAGGAATTCAATAGTATGGCGCGTTGTATCGAGTACATCCGTGCATGACAACAGTGGGCAATGGGCGCGGTGAAGACATTAAGAGCCGAAGCACTGTCCATATCATCTCACCAGCTTCCAGGAAGTTTTCAGTCACACAGAATCTAGGCGCAGGACGGCTTCAATTTTCGAACTATTCACACTTCCTAGTACTGTAATTGATTATCAGACACTAACAGAGAAATGACGCCTCATCTTGTGGAACGGCACACTACATGTCGTTATGGCGCTGTTACCAATCTACCCGGTCCGTTGTCCCTTGCAATCGCATCCAGACACGATCGAGGTGGTGCAGAGATCATAAATGCTTGACCTGTAACAAATCGCGAAAGATCTATTCGATCTATCGGTCGTATTTGTCTCCGGGATTCGGAGCAGTGCCACGGGGTTCCAGTCAGGCCAAACCCCGCACCGAGAAAATTCTTTCGTTGACTACTCGGAGCTACTTTACGTCCCGATACAACTAGATAGAGCAGGGGCGCTCTCAGTGTACATATCATTCCTACCTTTAATAAGCATGAGGTTGATCTAGAGTGCAAACATAAGCATCCACTTTGATAATACACATATCTCCTAGGCCACTATAGGGCACTTAATTTCTGTATGCGGTCGATTCAACGCCTTTTGAGTAGTGAGAAGAGCGTGACTCGTCCAGTAGGCTTGCGCAAAAGTGAGGACCTTAAAAGACTGGGCCTCTAGATATCGGATATTTTTTCCAGCATTGGCGGCCTCATGGGCTACGTACATAGCCTTGGACATGCCTCACGTAGCTTGACGAAAGGAATTCCCAAGCTAAATTTGTCCATCTTCGCAGCCGCCTCGTCCGCGGACCAGGTAGAGAATGCTGATGCTACAATGGGCATCTCCATATCCCCGAAAACACACCACAACAATGCGTGGATGGCTTCTTCGGCCAATCGGCAAGTATGCTCATATTTCAGGATATACGACCGCAAGTCGACCACCTCTATACACCTCGTAGAATGCTAGGTCGCAGCGTGTGGTACCAACGCGACATAGCGACCATCGAAGCAGCTGGCCTAGTATGTTTTTTAGACCGGCGGCGGTCATTCTAGTCCTGGCTCTCCTCTTGCGGCGCGTGCAGCCACAGGGGCAGAGGCGGCTGTGCGTGTCTTGGCGGGACAAGTTCTGGATCGCAAACGCCAGCTGGTTGGGTTTAGGCCTGGCTCTTTCTACGACACTCTTTGTGACATCGGGACTGAAAGCCATGGTCGGCAAGCCTCGGCCAAATTTTCTCGACATCTGTAATGCAGATGTGGATCATTGGCTGACTTTGTGGTCGGTGGTTCCAGAAGCGAGAGTGACTCTGATGCGCCGGCGGCTGGTGACTTGTCGATAGGCGGATCTGAGCTTACTAAACGATGCCTTTTTTGCGATTCCGTCTGGCCATGCGTCTATGTCTTCTGTTGTATGTACGTGACAGCCGCTGTGGGCAGCACCTGCACATTTTCTTGGCCCGAATTGTGCGCGTCAAATAGATGGAACGAATAATTTGGACGCAGATGCGAGTGTGGGCTGCATTGCTTAGGCACAGGACATCTTTCCGTGTGTGGAGCACAGTGCGATGGCTGCGAGGAGTACTGGTTCCTGTGGTCCATAACGTCTCCAAATTTAGACGTAGCAGTCAACGTCGACGTCCTGACGTGATCTGCGTAAGCCAACTGGGTCCACATGCTTCTCAATAAGTACTAGAGATGGTTTCGAATGATAGGTGGCGGGTTGTAGGGTTGAAATTGCTGGTAACAGGCGCATGGATAACATCGATTGCCGGAGCGTGATAACTACATAACGTTATCAGCCTGAGTCGGGACGGGATCGTGTCAAACTCCAGCCTCAAGAGGTTGACTTCGAGATTCTTAGTCGCCTTCCGTTCTCGCCAAGACAGGACGAGTCTGCTGGTAATATCCTTGGCGTTCTTGGTCTCCTGAGCCAAGACAAGCAAGCTAGTGCAAGGCGGTGAGAGCTTGGCATGTTTCTGATTGGCAGGGAGGCGTCCTGTGGTTTTTGTTATTTTGCTTGACCCATCATATCGAATGTGCTTGACGCGTCACTTCTCTATTCAAAACGCAATGCATCTAGACTGTGGCATCTAGACCGTGACCATCAAAGACATTCGAGCTTGAAAAGCTCCACCGGGCATCGTTACAGTTCTTACTCTTCCCGACCATTCACGGACTAGAGCCTGCCTTCCTATCACTGAGAAAGGCTTAAATAAGCCTGCTTCTCTAAATACGGGACAGACGCACTATCAAGTGACCAACTCAAGCTGCATCGGGACAGAAAAGCTCTGAACAAAATGAGGGAGCAGATGTACTGAGAATTGCCTGCACAGACCCAGGAGGATCAGGTACTGTATCGTTCCGATGCTGATAATTGTCCCTTAGAAGACCCCATCCCTGGCGTCCGATATTCAACTCTCAAATCGCCAGAAGAAAGTGCATAGACTGGGAATTCTGTAGACCCTGTGTCAGATGCTGTTTAGCAGTTGCTGTCATTGGGCGGGGCAGTGAAAGGGCTGCGTAATCTGAAGATTGAGGGCCACGCTGCTGACGTGGCAGAGAGCTGGCAGTGTATGCCAAGAAAATTGAACAACAGGGTCTAGCTCAAATTCTGGTTGACCAATGGATACCCGCTATGTTCACCCAAGGTTTATCGAGGAAACTTGTAATGACCGATAGGTATCGGAAACCTGTGATTTTGCCTGGGCAACAGCTCCCCATCCAGATATAGCAAGATTGTTGGACTGGCGAAATGCTGCATACTAGTGAACGATTCCACGGATCCTCGGGCTTGCCTATAGTATTTCGAGGAAGCCGCAGCTAGGGCAGTATGTAGAAAGGCGGATTGAGGACTGCGCGTATAATGTTGCTTAAGGGATCGGTTGCGGTCGCCGAGGGGACGCCAAGCTTTACCCCACAGTGTGTCTACCTCCTCACTCTATAAACGTACTGTAGTCACTTCAGACCTTGTTAATGACAACCGGAGGTACGTTCAAGATGAGAACCAGTGCGAAGAGTGTCGTTACCACTTGCCCCAGTACATTTTGAATGTCAGAGATGCCGCATTATGGCTTGTATATAATTGCTGTCGGAGGAACTAAGGGACATCAAGGCTAAGAATGCTAAGGCGCTAGAGTAGAATTTCGAGCGTCGGATTGCAGGCAATCTCATAAATTACAGTTTGTACACCGGCTTCGTCCTAAAGGCAGCTTACACTACTATAGCATAGTGACAGTCTTACCAACGGTGCATCAGTTCCTAACTATCAACGATACCTGCACCTGGTTGGCACGACAAGCTCGTTAATGTATCTGGTATCTTCCTGACAAAGGAAGATGCTGCCAGGTTTGGCTTGAAGTGAATGAGAACTAGCTGGCCCTCAAGCTCGCTGCTGCACTATTCCAGGGTGATCCTCTCACCGCCTATGCTCAGCAATTATTGGCACAGATAGCCGAGCACTGTTGCTGTGTCCGTCATCATCGAAACAAGATCTGGGGAAGCCGGTTTGGCAGACTCTCTAGCCATTGAATGCCGGATACTTTCCAACTAGCATGCCAACAGTTGAGGCATCTCCACCTCTTCGAGTTGATTGACTGTGTTCTCCCTGTCGATCTTTGGGATAAGAGTCATCTTCCCGCGCTCAAACATATCCATAGACACAAGATTCTGGTACTTGTGAGCACTGTGGTCTACAGACCGGATAGGAAAGATATCACGGAGAATCTTTCAATGCGACAAGAGCCAGGAGTGATGGAGAATCGAGTCAAATGGGATTGGTACAAAGCAATCGCCGTTGTTTACCATTGCGCAAATCGTTCGGCACAGAAGTCACAGCACGATCGAACAGCATTCACTTTGCGGCACCATGTTGACATCAAAGGCTGTATGTCTGACACGCCGTGAACGAGTCGCACGTGTTGCCGCAGATGGTCTGCAAAGCACGAAAGGATCAAAACGGTCGCTGGATCAAAATACTAACCCAATCCCTTTGGTCGAACGAGATGGGAGCGTCTTGCGTCGGTGGCGACAGCCGACAAGACAAAATCATCGCCGTGGATCGAAGCAGGCGGCGGCAGCAGCACCTTATGAGCAGGCAACTCCAGACCTCAGTCCTAGGACTGGATTGTGATGAGCAGAATCTCCTCTGCCAGGTAGGCAGATGGCGAAAGGACGACTTGAAGTCCAGGATTTTCTGGGCGCGAACGGCAGTCGAACATTTTTATACACAATCCAGCTTGTTTTGTCTAACCATCAATGTCTCTCCTTCTCTCTACAGCACCTGCATACCGCCGAGCTTCATATCTATCTTCCTAAATCTCTCTCTCTCTTTGCGATCCTTGATCAAACACATGGTAGCCAACAGCAGCAATAGATCGATGGCACAAAATCCAAATAGAAGAGTAAAAATGATGTCCAAGAATTGGTTGGCGAAACTGCCAAACGGGGCCATGCAGAGGCCAAGTTGCGCAGCGACTGCAGCCGTAGGGCATGTTTGGTCTCGGACAAACAGACTGGGATTGTTGTAACCGCAGCACTCGAATCGGCTTTGGAGCAGGGACTGCACGAATTCTTCTTGACTGTTCCAGAGCGGCTCGAGGTTTTTGTGCGTTTCAAGCGTCTCGAACCAAATGCGCAAGCCGATTCCGAGGGTACAGAAAGTAGTGATCACGATGCCCCACAAGTGGCTGATCAACCAGTGGTGGTTTGTCTGGATGAATATGGCCGGGAGGGACATAAGGAAGATAATGAACATAAGGATCGAGTTGGCCAGAGAGGCTAGAGGAAATGTTAGTGAATGAAGTAGTACGTGTAAATATGGGTGCAAACCGGTGAGAGGGGTGTGGGCGAGAAGGAGATCGGAAGCGACATTATCAATCATGGGCGCTCGACGGAGTGAGGCGCGGGTAGTCAAAGGAACAATGAGGTGCAGGACGGCGCAGGCTAGGTAGAGACCCTCGAAGCCGATGAATGTCCATAGAATCTTGTTCCGGCCCTCCATCTTTGTTGACTGCGGTGCGATTGCTAGGTTGTGGAGGGTGGAAATTTTAACGGAGTAGGTAAAGAGGATCTCGTTACTAGGCCTGCTCAAACCTACGCACGACAGTTGAAGGTGCAATGGGTGTAGATGAGAAACGAACGCTGAGAAATAACGACTGCGAAAGCAGTGGTATACCACCACAAGAACGGAATTACAGAGAAGAGAGAGGAAGGGACTTGAATTGACGGGGCACAATCTGCGACGAGATGAAACGTTTCAGGTTGACTGAGGTCCCTGCCAAGGCTGATCATTCAAAGACGCGCAAGGACGCTACCACCCGTAAAACATCAGAAGAGCTCCTTCTAGATTAGCTTGTTTGTATACACACGCGGCCAGGTTGTACTATACGCAAGAAGAAGCTAATGAGCATCACAGTGCAAGCGTTTGAACTGGGTCTACGATTGGTTGGTTGGGTTACCGCTTGCGTGTATGGACAACGTACACCGGATCTTTTCGTCCAATAGATTCTCGACGGCCCACGACCTGGAGGCTTACCAAGGTTTAGGCAACTATTGAGAGGAAGTGTAACATTGATGATCTGCCAAGCCTACTTGGCTCTTCTCCGGACTACGCTAACCAGGTCTCGGGTTGATGCCACACAGTAAAGGCGGTGAAGGAGCACTTGATTTTAATTCGGGGCTGAGATTAAGCTGGCCTGCTTATTCTCATGAGACCAGAACTCGTCTTAAAAGAAATATTAGTCCTGCCTTCCCCCACCTTTTGATTCTGTGTACCCCCCTCGCCTTTCCCAAACGGCCAATTCAAGGCTCCTAATCTACAAGATGAATTACCCATCACGGAATGATGATTCTCTTCTCCATCCAACCTGGAACCAGAGTCTCCCGCAATTGGCTGCTGATCTAACGACTCGTCAGAACCTTAATGGCATTGTGAATTCCAGAGAGCACAAGGAATCCGAAAACAAAATCACGAGCAAGCAAGTTCCAGTCGTCTTCAAGGAGCACGAACCATCACAGGAACTCTTTCCGGCGGTGGCAGAGGTGGCTTCCCCTGGAGAGCCACCTCGGAGCCCTCCAGGACACGAAGACACTTCTTGGAGTCCATCTGCGTCTCGCTACTCGGGTCGTATCTTCGGAGTGTTCACCAAGTTTACGAAATTCATTGGACCTGGTTTTCTGATAGCCGTTGCTTATATTGATCCTGGCAACTATGCTACTGATGTTTCTGCCGGCGCTGAAACAAAATTCGCCCTATTATTCATCGTCCTGATGTCTAATCTTTTTGCCATCTTTTTGCAGTCTCTTACTATCAAATTGGGTACTGTCACGGGTCTCAATTTGGCTGAGAACTGTAAGGCCCACCTACCAAAGTGGCTTACGATCATCCTGTACATTCTTGCAGAATCTGCTATTATCGCAACAGACATCGCCGAGGTGAGTATTCCTTCTTATACATCATTGGGATACTGATAAACCAGGTTGTTGGGTCCGCGATTGCGTTGAATCTCCTTCTTCGCATCCCCCTTGTAGCTGGATGCGCCATTACACTGGTCGATGTCTTGGTGATTCTCATCTTCTACAGACCCGATGGGTCTATGGTCGCAGTCCGTGCTTTTGAGTGGTTCGTCATGGCGATTGTATTGGGCGTGGTTGTCTGTTTCTGCATCGAGCTATCGCTCATCCGGAATTCCTCGGTAGGAGAGGTTTTCAGGGGATACTTACCGTCCGCTGCTGTTATTCAATCTAATGGGTATGTTCCCCTACATCGGTATTACACTAGTATTACTGACTACGGTATTTAGGTTATATCTAAGCTGTGGGATCCTTGGAGCAACTGTGATGCCTCACTCTATCTTTCTGGGAAGTGGCGTGGTACAATCACGCTTGAGACACTTCGATATCCAGGAAGGTCATCTAAGCACAACGGTTACTTCTGGAGGTGATGGGGATGAAAAATATCGCCCTTCCGTCGCTGCTATTCGGCACTGCCTTCAGCACTCCATTGTCGAGCTTGCATTGACCCTGTTCACATTTGCCCTTTTCGTAAACAGCTCTATTCTTATTGTGGCTGGTTCCTCTTTGTTTGGCAATGTCGAGGCTGCGGAAGCAGACCTTTTTGGAATCCACAAACTTCTGTCGGATACTATTGCTCCAGCTGCAGGCACGACTTTTGCCCTGGCACTTCTCCTGTCCGGAATTTCGGCAGGAATCGTCTGTACAATGGCAGGGCAGATGGTCAGCGAAGGGATGTTGAACTGGAGGGTTGCTCCATGGCTCAGACGGCTCCTCACGCGATCGATTAGCATCATCCCGAGTATCATTATCGCCGCCGCTGTCGGGAAAGCAGGACTCAATGCTACGTTGGCTGCGACCCAAGTGGTCCTGAGCGCTATTCTTCCATTTGTCACTGCTCCTCTGATATATTTCACCTCCCTGGACCGATATATGACAGTCACTACAAGGGTGCCACCCGGGGACGATGTCGAAGGTGTGGAAATGGGGAACCATTGGGCGGTCACGGTGGTGGGTTTCCTGATTTGGATGGTAATTGCCATTATGAATGTTGCTTTGCTGGTCCTAGTGGGCTTGGGCAAGATGTAGGAGAAGGGCGCCGAGTGTCACGGAGTGACCGTCGGGCAGGCGTGGGCGATGTAACAGTGATCAGGATTGTCAGAGCTATGTACGAACGGTCTGTGAACCAACGTGCAGGCCTGGCAGGAAGACAAGGAGTATAAATATTCGGCAATGAGGTCTCGTATGTCGGTGTCGTTCTGGTGAGCTTGTACCAGCCTGCGAATCTTCTTGGGTGTCCGTAGGTATGCTTCCTGTCCTTTAAACACATTCTTCAGCGCCAGATAGATAGATCTCTCATCTGGTGTGATTTTGGCCATTCTTCTCTACGGCGTGGCAGCATAGAGCTGCAGTCGGACGATAGGTTGTAAAGAGGAGGGATCACACGAGTGGATGACAGGCTACCTCGCAATTTTGGCGGCGTTAACATAAGCGAGCACCCTGCTGCTGGGGTAGTCGTCTCTCTCACTGAGCTGGTCGCCTTCGCAATGCTCCAGCTCGTTTGCCAAAGTGCGACAACGCCTCAATACTGCGCTGCGGTTTGGACGGCGCTTTGATGGCAACTTATCGCAGAGCTATTGATCACGTTGGATTCCTGGTCAAAATCGAACGAGCAGGTTTTCCTTTGACCCTGAACCACTATTTTGCTTCGACTATCTCAGCGCGGCGAAAAGCTCGCATGGAGAAACAACTCCGGGATCTAAAATCGTGGCAGATTAATGACGACGAGGCGCAACCGCTGCTGCGTTTCAACGATGTTCTCAAAGCGTACGTGAGCAACGAGCAACATACTGTCGAGGAGTTCGAGGATGTGCTCAAATCTTATCACAAGGTTGCACGAAAGCGGTTTGTGGATAACGTTTGCAAACAGGCCATTGATCATCATCTCATATGTTCTGTAGACGGGCCACTACAGGTCTTTTCAGCCGAATTTGTGGGCAAACTGGAACATGATGCATTGAGGGCGTTGGCGGAAGAAGACAGCCATATCATGAATCGGCGGAGAAAGTTGGAAGGAGATCTCCAAACTCTGGCTCGTGCCATGGAGCGCCTCGCAGAGCCTTAAGCTACCGAGTCTTGGTTGTCTGATCAGGCTATAACGCGTTCGCAATGTCAGGCAGCATGACTTACTTTCTGAAGAGTCCACAGACCACTATCTACCAACTATAGCAGCAGCTTCCATAATCGGGGACGCGTAAGACTGGAGCAACCCATGATCGTCGCACCGTTTACCACAGTTTTATTTTGGGACCCATTTGTTTTTCCACCAGGGGCCCGTGGCTTCACTGTTGCCGAATGGACAGTCCGAGAATAGACTAACGTCCGGATCGGCTTCTGGTCGCGGAGAATGACAGCTTCGAAACACGCAGACTCAGCGGTGGTGGCTGGAGTCGATGTAGCTGATGGAGAATGTCTGGAGCTTGCTTCGGTCTGGACATCGTCGAAGAGACTTGAAGTGCATATGCTCGATGATGGTTGCGAATCTCGCCATCGTGGGAGCTCAACGCGCTCTGTGGCAATGGCATCTGATTGATGTGACCGAGTTAGGAGTTGATGGGAATCTAGCCCCAATACCGATAGCCGAGGTGCCGTGGGATGAGGCCAATTAGGCACTATTGAAGCTGAACCGGGGTGAAGTTATAGGGCGGCTTGTCCTGTTTCATTGAAAGTCGCTGGCAGATCAGCGAAACATGAAATCTTCAAATGATCCGGGAGATACATCCTGCATCGCCTTGCCCTCCATGATAAGATTGACGATGCACTGTCCGATCAGCTGGCACGTGCCATCGTCTCTCTGCACTGGAACGAAGGTTGTTGCTGCTCCGATAAAGATACAAACTAAGTCTCCTGCCTCAGCCCCAAGAGTTCCCAATGCCACACGACCGCTTTCGGTCGCGAGCAATTATGGCCCCGTAATGCAACCTCGCACATTCGCCTCAATGTTTTGCTGTTGCTGATCTTCGGGACGATGATTTCGTGCTTCGTGCTGACCCGACACCTCCTAGACCCACAAGCGCTGTGCATGAGCCCGGTGCTGCATATTCGTTGCGCAGCTGATCAAGGATCGTCCCGCGCTCCACAAAGTCAACATCCCGCTCGAAAGGGATGACTGCACTTGGATTGGGTGGAGTTTCTGCTCGCTCTGGGACCGGCCCGCCGTTAGCGGAGAAAGGCCGAGTGGGTGTCTGACGCACGGACCGCAGCGACGAGTTGATTGTTGTGGCCCGTGCCCCCAGCCGTAGAAATCCACGGCTAGGCGCCAAGAGTGTTTCACGGTCAGCGATTAAAAGTCGTCGCCTGTTTCACAACTGCGCATCGCGGCAGTGTTACTCTCATCCAGTCCATTCTTCTGTATGAGTACCCTCAACTACAATTGACGCGCTGTTGCAGACACTCGTGAACAGAAGCGAGAAGAAACCTTCATGACGAGAATGTGAAAATCACGAAATATGGGAACATGCTTCTTGTTACCGCCAGATTTTCGTGGTTCACAGATAGCACGCACTTTACTGGCAGCTCCGTGCGCATATGTCAAACCTCAGTCTTCCGGAAACAACCTCACGAAATGGACGTTGATGTGCGTTCTTCGCTTGCCTTCAAGAGCTTTCGGCCTGTAAGTCCACATGGCGTTGAAATTCCAGAAGGGCCCTCAGGCATTGAGACTCTTGTCGAAAGGGCAGAACATTCGACGCACGGGACGTTGGGCGATCAATATCCCACTGAAAGGAGCGATGAACTTCGTGTCGAGAAACATCAGCCTGAGGCAAGCTGCACATCCCAAGACGATGCCTTACCTTGTCCACATCCAGCTCTGCGCCGAAACCGGTGCCGCGTTTGGAGACGACCTGGCACGTGCCGGAGACATCAGAATGCTATCGACTGCTGATGAGCGGACACTGTTACTGATCACTTGGCTCACTACCCAGACAGTAAGTTTATGTTCATGAGTGATGCTCATTTTCATCTAGAAAAGACCGCTACGCTGCTTTCATTGTATCAAGTGCCGTGATGAGCCGTTATGTCCGGCCTTGTTCCGCCTGACTTCCACCTAATTCTATCTTAACTGGTGTACCACGGTATCTGCTTGTTCAGATTCCGCGAAAAGCCGTCCTTGTCAATCGTGACATTGGTATTGCTGTGAGGGAACACGACAACAGCTTCAGCCCCATACCACACCGGGTGAGTGGAATGGCTGGTCATCGCAGAGTTCCGTTCGCCTTGACATTGGAGGGCCTGACGGACACAGAGAATTGGTGGAATGAAGTGAAGACCCGGATCTTGGGAAGGTGACCGGACATTTCCCAGCCTCACATCCTCCGGTCGGTAGTATGAGACCAGGCGCCAACATTGTTCTCCTGTCTTCATGCTGATCGTCCTCTTCATGAGTCCGTCGCGTTTGAAAGGGTAGGAGTCGACCAAAGAGCCGTACAAATTGCTTTCGGCAGGCTCCTGGTGGTCGCGTGTTCGGTCCTCTGATGGGATGAGCCGTCCACGCTTTCCTGTCCCCTTCTCCTCGTCATCAAGTTCCCGGTAGACTATGAATGAATCCAAGACTCGACTTGGGCTCCAGTGGATGCCGTCTGTCCATTGCTTGATACCGGACTCATGCTCTTCAAACACGAATACGTGGCCACTTCTGACGTCCATCCCTCGCCTGGATCTGGGCAATCGAGAAAGAAGTCTGGGAAGGCGGCCTTGGATACAGGCTTCAAATAAGAGAGCCGCGTCAGATGTGTTTGCGACAAAGCCTTCATAACTTGGCTGAAGAACGGGTGGTGTTTGCGTCATACTGATGGTGCAAAGCTCCTAATACAAGTGGTGTGTGGAAAGGCAAGAAAACTCAACCCAACACCTGCGCTTTATAATAATAGGTCCAGCCCGGGATGACAGAAAGTTGGTGACAAGTCTAGGTTCGTAGCGAGGCCCGTGGCCTTTGCGAAATGTGACAGGTCACGGTGTCATGCACGTCAAGGAGCTCGCTCGGTCACTGGGCCTTATCCAATTGGCCGCCGCATCAAATTGACAACCAGACCACCAATTGAACAAGTCGAAGGGCGAACAATGAAAGCGAGACCTGTCTCATACTCCCTCTAATCAAAGCAAGCACTCGACTCCTCGCGAAGTTACTCTAGCTCTTCAAATCCGAAAGGTAGGCATACAACAGCAGATCTCGGTACTCTTGGCACGTAATATTTATGGCTTTACCTTGGTGCAGACACGTATCATAATCAGCGCTACCCCATGATCAGAGACGTGGACTCTGGTGACGCGGCGCTTCTTGAACCTCCACCATGCGCCATTATCAAGATCATGGTTGACTTCTCCCAAATCACCAAGCAAGTCTGTGTGGGTGTCTATCTCACGGATGTCGACCTCCATGCCACGTTTGGAAGGGCCTCGCAGATCGAACAGGGGTTGGATCGTTGGATCGCGGACTTGCCTGCGAATATCCGGCCTCGGCTCCAATCGAATGGAATCATTTCTCTGCGGGATGCGAGAGCGCCACGCTGGGTGAAGAGGCAACGATTGGTGCTAACGATAAGGTATCACAATCTACGGACTCTCATGTTCGGCGCACTACTTCTAAGATCTACGAAAGAGGAGCGAATAGCATTCCCGGAGTCGTACCAAGGCGTACAGAAATGCCTCGAGTCAGATAGACAAACCATTGAGATTATCTATGAGGCGCTTCAGCACAACGACTTCTTCCGCACCTGGTTCTATAATACTACGTACACCGTCTACGCCGCTTCCATCATCCTTGTCTACATCACACGTGAAGCTCCTCAAGGTGAAATTCAGTCTCTGCAACAGTTGGTCGGCATGTCCATCGACATCTTGGAGCTCATGAACGAGAGTGTCGTTACTCAAGCGGCAGCCAAAATGCTCAAGAAAGCCAAAGATGCCACAGAGCAGGGACCAGATGTGAGCACTGAAGTCATCGAAGACGGTCGCCTGCTCAATCATTATTGGGGCCGCCTTGACCTGATCGATGGAGACTTCTGCTCCACGTAGTTACTTGTCTCGAATGCTTGGTGATACCGTCGATATTCACCATTCTCCAAGTGCTGTACATTCGCCTGTGGCGATTGAGCCCATGATATGCCCACGCCTGCAACCGCGATTGCAAGAGCGTCCGCAGCAGAGACTCCGGCGGATGATTGAGCTGTCGCTCTATCACAGACACTCTGCCACTTTTCGCCTTGCCATGGTCATTCTGTCCCACAGCACCCCATATCTTGTCCGGCTGGCCCACCATGATGTCGCCTGGCTGGTTTTGAATTCCATGGGCGATGTTGGGAACGCCGCCACCCCACTGTCAAGCCAACCGGCAAGGCGGGAAAGGTACGCACGATGTCTTTCGCTACTGTTGCTGCAGGTGCAGATATGTCAACGCCGGCCGGCATACATCCAATCACTACGTTATGTTGGTGTATTCTCCCGAGGACATAGCTCTTGTGGTCTTGTCGATCGTGTCCTGCGATCATCGGGTGTACCTCACTGATATTGCCTGGGCCATGTTGAGCTCCGTCTTTATACCATAAACACAACCAATGTGATGGATTTTAACGATTCGGCTCGCCATCGCGGTGCACGAGGCGGCGATGTATGAAGGGATGTTGCCGACGTCGCAATGATTGTTCGGATATCAGCCCCGTAGAGCTGAAAGGAGGTTTGATGTTTGCACAATATCGCACCGCGCTGCAAACCACAAGGACATGCAGATTTGACAACTGCAAGCATTCTGGCAGAGTCCGAGATGAAAGAGCATGCTCAGCCTCATTGAATGATCGACCCCTGTCCACAGCATCGTTCAGCTGCGCCGCATGTGAAAGGCCCAGAATCGCGCCCTGCGTGCCTCTGAAAGCCAATTTTGGCCAGCTGGCCCTCTCATGTGCGCCGATGACCGTCAGGCTGTGTATTGAAGATCCAGCCAGCGCGAAATGAGCAACCAAATTGCCTTTAAAGCAAGTATATCGATCGCTCAGATCAGGCCGTAGGATTCAGCATCATTCCCCAGAAAGTTCGGAAATTCGGCGAGGCTGAAGCGCAGCCCTGCCAAGACGAGGTTTGATCGCTGCAATATAGTCGGCCTTGCATAGGTCACTCCTCAGCTCACTCCGGCAGCTATCTATTTCGTCGTGCCTCCTATTCTTGACGATAACGATGTCGTTTTTAACTCTGCCAGAGGAGTGTCGATTGATGGTGTATAGATACGCATTCAAAGACACCCGAATCAAATACATTAAGGACCTCCACTCTCAACTCTCGTCGGGTCTCACGGAACGGACGGATAGATCAGCTGTCCAGGGCCCTCACGGAGGCACTTTCTGTGCGCGTATCCGCAAAGACGCATGTACTAGTCTTCTCTTGTGTTGCCGTGAAATCTACAAAGAGGCAAGAGAGGTGCTTTACTGGGAAGCACGTCTTGATATCAGCTATGCAATGGACCAAAACTGTCACCTCGTTAGGATTTCTGCCTCACCTGCAGAATTGATCAATGTCAAGCTGCAGTACCGGGTACTGAATGCTCCTGGATTCAAGCAAACTCTACAGTCTATGACAAACATCAAGATGCTCACAGTCTATGGACACCATGTTATTTATATAGACGCAGTTCGTGTCAGGAACATACAATCTCGCGGGCAGCGCCGCTCAGGCGGTGTCGCCTCACACACAAACCATCCTGAGCTCCTCTATGAACGGATCAAGGAAGCCGCAGAAACGTTCGCCTTCAGACTAATTGGTCAATGCTGTACTTCCGAGAACCCCATTACTCAGAACAATCAAGTCGACAATCAATGTACTGGAATATGCCATGTCAGTAGACATATTCATACATGGGATTGGACAGGTCAGCCGTACAATCTAATGATGGAATTCGAGGTCTATAACTTCCCCTTGGCTTTACGGGAGGCAGTAAGTTTTTAAACTCTACCTGAGAGCTGAATACTGATACTACCCCCTTAGATAGCGGTACTTGATTTGAAAACAAAGTTGCTGCATATTTACAACAGCAAGGACGAGCATATCGGCGAAGCGATTCTGTTGGGGACTTTGAAATACTAGATTGATGTCCTGTACGCTGAAACACCCACCGAGCGAAGCTGGAGTAGCAGGTCTGTCCACCAAGAGCATTGCCAGCCGCGAGTATTCGAAAGATTTGCGCTACACTGCTAGTTGTAGCCTTTGGTGAAATGTAGCATGGCTGGGTAACAGACCAGCAAGACACCCGTACATTACCCCCCGGGTCCATAAAACCACCGTCGAAGAATCGGTTGATGATGCGATCAAAAGACCGGATAACATGACGGCCAATCCAGAACAGCCTCCTGATCGTCTAAGACTCGGGTACCGTTGCAGGATTTAGGATACAAATGGTAATTCGATAAGCATGATTGCGATGGCAGTGGTAGATACGGCGGCAAGGTTCCGGGGATGACTTTGAAGGGCTCGCCCTGAAGGTAGTGTTCTTGCATCACTCCGTACGAATTCATGAGGCTAGATATATGGTCAGCAAGCCGCTTCAAACAGAAACCCCAATTCGTGGACTGTGCATACCCCGAGATAATGGCTTCCATAAAGAACCACGAGGCCAATGTGAGCCACGCATGCTTGCCATGATCAAATGGTGGCAGACTTTGAAAGTCTATGAAACTTGCATAATCGATATCAGCGTCGACATTCACGACAGCGAGCTCGTGGTCGCTTGTGTCAGCCATCGTCTGGCGTCCGTGCAACTGTTCCAAATCATATGGGAAGTTATATGAGCGAGGTAGTGAGCGGTAGATATTACTCCGCCCCGCTGATGGCGGCCACCTCAGACTGCTTAATGATAAGTGTAGTCACTGCGTCTGGGCTGAAAGGTTGAAGGATATATTCGTGACTGGTGGTCAATCCTCAGAACCCTTCATTTCCACCAGCGAGCGACTGTTCGATGGACTCAGCGCTCTACCGGCAGGCGTATGGAGCTGTTGAATCGCCAAGCAGATGGTTCGCCCTTTGGGCACTCGAGCGGTCCCGTTTTGATCACGGGTGAGTAGCAAGACGTGGGCGTTCACAAGGCTGGGGCAGCATATGACGTACCAGTGTCTTCTCATCGCAGTCTAGCAAACACGAGCATTCTCATCGCCGCTGCGTCCGTGTGCTATCTGTGTTATAGGCTTGATTCACTTGACAGATTGCCTTGGCGCGTGAGATGGTAGATTTCAATTGAACACTGTCGACAACCGAACTGGCCTGTTATTCATGAATTTCAGCTTTCACCCGACATTGGTCAACGAGCGCGCCCGAAAAGGCCTGTTCACCTGCAGCTTGTCCTGACAGTAGTCAAAGAGCACCTGTCCCTGAACCCTCCGCAAGCAGAGAAGTTGGCTTATTGTACTGCACATCTCGAAAGTGCACGCAAGGGCATATGAGTCTCGGTGATAGGAGCCGGGGGAATGGGACTAGGTGTCAATTCATAACACGCAAGCCTGATCGTGGTGAAGCCAAAGGTGCAATAGCAGAAAGTGACAGCTAGTCGTGAGCACTGAAAGGGAGCTATGCGCAGCTCTTCTGTGTCCATAGGCATCTTTCCGCCTCATTCCATTGGATAAAGTGCCGTGAGCCGTTGACATTGTGCTCCCCGAGTAGAATTGAGAAGTCTGCTTGTGCGAAAGTATCGGAAGCAAATCTGCGCTGACCCTGAGGCTGATGCACTTGGGCTCATTCGATACCCATCACCACGGCGAGGCGCATCGTCACCACATGCATGCCCATATCGAGGGACTGTGCAATGCCGACAGCGAGCGAGCCCAAACGATGCCTCCTCAGACTGACGTGCTTGCGGTGTCTTGTCAATCCTGCGTGGACGATTCTAATGTGTGGCACATCTACTGTAGTCTGCACGCCATCTTCGGCAGATTCAGTGGCAAAATACAGATCAGCACATCACACCTGGCCAGCCAGCATGAGGTAGATAGCGTAGATATGAGCGGCGGATTCATCTGACCCTGAACACACCGCCGGAAGCTATGGGCAATGCCTTCAACCAATCGCACACCTAGTTGAGGGGTACCTAATGCGGTGGATTTTGAGTGTACAGGCGCTGGATCGGGGATGCGTAGAGTCTACGGCGGCCGTGGAGTCCAGGGCGGGCGGCCTCCCGCTGTAGGGCGTCCCTCTATATAATACTATATAGCTATTTATCACTTTAGTGCTTTGGTGCTTTGATCAGGGTACACTAATACAGTAAAGTATGCTAAGCTTTGAACACGTAATCCGTCGCTTAATATGCTTATCTAGACGACCGAGGTTAGACCTGGTCCCACGACATTCCCTGGCGCGACCGACATGCAGCCTAGTCTGTAACATGCGCTGTAATAGAAAAAGCACAAACCATTTACCTATCTACCTCTTCGTAGTGGTGCACCCTAATAACCTTTTCTCTTGTCAGTCTGCACCTCACAAGATATATGCAAAGCAGATATGGTACAATTCCTCCAGGCTTCACTATCATATTCTCTAATTATATTCACTTAGGCGAGACGTTGTATGTGCTCGGCAACCCCTTTCTCAGTAGGTGTAAAAGAGACTATGTTGGTAAATTCTATTCACAATGGTATTAGTGAGAGTTTCTGCACTGGTGTGACACACTTGACGTACAATCGACCTTGGTATACTTAAATTGTCTAGCAGGAATACGGTTTTTGAATAATAAGTTGATCTCACTAAAGGTTCTATCCTTTGTTTTAGGGAGGCGGAATCAGCACCATATGTTGCACAAGAGATTTATTCCGGCGTAGAAAAGTGCTGCTCTAGCTCCCTAGTTCCAAGCTATTCCTATTAGATTGTGATTGCACGTCTTTGGAGAACTTTACCTAGTGGTGAGAGTATATAGGTGTGATTGAGTTGTGAAATATACCCGTTAGGTTGTAGACAAATCGGCTGATAATAATAGTCTTATATCTGAGGCGACCTGACGGTGTCTTTATGACGATTGAGTAGTAGACTGGTCCAATGGTGATTATGTTGCAAAGTGTAGATATGACCAAGAGTACGCCGATAGCAAGTTGTGCACTCTATGACTCTGCCCAAGCAAGACTGCCAATAGTGATGAGAATGATAAACATAAATGTTATGCCGGTTATGTAGAGTGTTGCTCGCCCGAAGTGAGGGAAAAGGAGCTAGCAAATAAGACCGCCAATGATGTAGCATGTAGAAAGTGATATATTGAGGTTAAATGCCTGAACCTTGGAGAATCTAGCCTATTGAAGAAAGACAACAGAGTAACTGAGGATAGCGTTGCCGCAAAGAATTTGAGCTGCCCAAACTACGCAGTTCTATCTTGTTAGTAATAACTCAACATAGTGACTATAGACTTATAATCTCTGTTTAGCAAAGATCCGTGCCATGAAAGCACTCAAGGTACGTTGACTTTACGGTTTCGGCTCTCTCCATTTGTGTTGTATAGGTAATATATGTAAGCGTACTTTCCACTTACTCAGCCTTATTACTTGACTCCCCCCGCAGACGAGTTAGACTACGTCTAGCTTCGTCCAGGTTTCTGCGCTGCATAGAGTTCCAAGGTGATTCTAGCGTAAGGAATGCTCTAACAAAGAGGGGAAGTGGCTAAATCCATTGCAACGCGAAAGGTAATTTCTAACTGAGGTTGCCTTCTACACTGATGACAGCGCGAATGACACCTGATGAGAGTAAGATGCCGCCGCCCTAGTATATATAGATATATGCTGTAACGTATAGCCGTAGTTTTGTCGGAATAACTTCGGAAGTATAGGTAGTTGATAGAGTCTGATATATAAATAAATGTTATGCTTAGTAATGGATAGGAATCACCTGAAAAACCCCCCATGGAATACTGCATATTGCTTCCCTAAAGGTAAGGACTGATAGGCTAGGTGCAAAAAAAATGACGAAGATAGCTATAGCTATCCATACTATGAACATCATTATTGTTTTCCTACAGCTAAAGCGGTCTTAGTAGAAGCTGTTTATAATCAGGCCTACTAGTTAACCTATCAAGGTAGAGTTGGTCAAGCTAGACTGCTATGCCACAGTGATGAGATTTTTGCCTGTTATAGGATTAAATGTCCTGAATTTATTTGTGAATTGCGTCTGACTATAGAAAGAGGTGATCTAGATTAATTGTTAGTTGCCTAGTCCCACCAGCTCTTAACAATATACAATAACAATATTATAGCTCTCTATAATCAGACTCATAGATAAAAACATTGCCCAAAATACAGCCTTCTTATACTTCTTCACCGCTTGCAAGATTGTTAGCTTATGATCGGTGACATCGCTGTTCTCGGCTCTACAGATAAACTCCTGTACTTCGGGATTATTTAGGTCGAACTCGAGAACTTCCCGGCTTGTTGGGGTAACCTCTGTTGTTGCCATAACTTCAAACTTTTTGATTGTAGAAGATGTATAATAGCGGTAGGATATATAGAGAGAGAATATAGAGGATTGAGTCATTACATTGTGCATATATGTAGGTTTTTGACCACGACTACCAGCCCGCTACTGGAGTGAGCCCGAGATTTGCGAGCCCTGTAGGGAAGTAAGCTAGGGCCACTATACTAGGACCAGTACGATGCCCCCAGCGGATTTCTGGCTCCTACTTCCCTCATAGAAGGCTTCACTCTGTTTACTGCCCTGTTAGGGTTATCTAGAGCCCAGACTGGGCATCAACACGATATCTAGAATGATTATTTGAGGTCAATTTACGTTGCTTTGTGTTCAACGATATCCTGCTAATACTATAGCAGTTACAGTAGGTAGAGACCCAAGCACAGCTTAGTACGTATAATTAATTTTCCTCCTTCCCGCTACTATAGAGGCCAGAATTTGGAACGGATCGTCAGCTATAGCGGGAATAATCCCAATATATATATTGCCCGTTTAATCTTAGAGCCTATATTATGCTAATGGAGATGTAATGGCTATATCTAGTTTAGATTGCTAGCCATCGCGCCTATGCTTTCTAACTTAGCCTAGTAACTTAAGTCTATTAGTCTCCTTCTGAAGCAGTCAGTCTTTAATAGGAATACTGTAATTTGCGGGGAGGTAAAGAAACATTTGTGGTTCTATAGGTTTAACTTTCCCATTAATGGCAGTTTCTGCCTAGCTATACGTTTCTAGGGCCACCTCCTCCGCTTTTGCGTTGGCCCTGACTCACGGTTATCCACTGAACTTCCTTGTTTTGTAGAGAACTACACAATTGAACGCTTTAGTCCGCATTCAGCAATTTTCCAGCTATTTCCCTGAAACCATGGAAGCTATGTCGCTAAGGTCGGACCGTTTTTGTTTACCCCTCGCCCTCCGCATATGACAAGCTAATCAGCGAAATATACCGCCGCTAAAGCTGATAGAAGTGACTGTCACGCTAAGCTTCCCTCAAGCGATCCCCAAGTGCGCTCGTTAGCTTCTTCTATGAAGCGAGCTCCCACAAGACAATATTGCCCGTAATTTTACGCACAACAAAGTGACTCCTCTAATATAGAGACTGAATACATGGTATTAGTGAAGTTTTGCTGAGTCGTCATTTTGGTTAATTCAGAGGGTTATAGTCACAAACTTATTTATTATTACTAGGCAATAAGCTATTCTAATGCCTTACAGACCTATCTTAGGATTCTTCTTTCTAGTAGCTTCTAGTAAGGTGTTGGTGCTCTCCTGTAGAGTCTACACACACATGGCCCTATCACCACCTCAATTGACGCAAAGAAAATAGGGGATTGCAATAAGTTTGTGAGGGTTGTTGTCAAGGGTCCAAGGTTCTGATCCATAAAGTGAAGTAAAGGAGTCGTCACCCAGCTATACACCTTGAAATGTAATACTCTGTATGCCTGACATCATCTTGACGTTAATATTAGCCTTATCCTTGACCGGTTTGTTGAGAATCCTTAACTTGTTAATATCTAACCCTAAATTATCCACGCTCTCGATGTAATAGACAAGTGGTCTATATATAATATAGACCTCATCTTTGCCGCTTCTTGGATTAGTATAGATCTTTCATAGCTGTACTAGTAGTTGCAACTCTATGAGTGACCTAGCTAGTATATTTAGGTATAGATAACTGTCCTTCTGTTTTCTGATTAGTGAATATGTTCAGCCGGAAGCCCAGCTGGGAATCCGCAGAGCTAGACGATAAGATTTCTCAACCTTGATTGTTACTTCTCCTGTCCATGGTATTGATGACTTCATAGAAATGGTGCCGCTAGTATCTGGTAGGGCAAAATTGCTGGTGATGTATTAATATACTGCCAAGAGTCGTTGGTTGGAGTTGTAGCTATAGATCAGTGAGCCGAGATTCCCAAGGAGTTTTGCTACATTCGGTGGACAGTAAGCAACGTTAAACCATTTGCTTCACTTCTTCGGCTTATTAGTGAGGGTTCGCAGTACATTCTGATAGTAGAAAGCATCTCCTTCCACGCTCACTGCGCCCAGGAACGCATTGTATAGAGTAATTTCCATTACATCACCGTACTTACCTTGTAGATCTATCCGCAAAAGACGGCTACACCAATTCACCAGCGCAAACGAAGCACAAGTCTCAGCATAACAACCAGCGTCTTCAAGATCTGGAAGCAGGTAGGGTGGTCCAAACCCTTCCCATTGTCGAACAGAACCTATGGCGCCGGTAACGTATAGTTTTCGATCCGCCATATCTCGCCACAGTCGTTCGAGAGCAGGCTTAAGCTTGGTAACTTCTGTGTCAGTCGTAGCACGAGTCTCATTGAGGCTGTGCCAGGCTTGTGTCAGCACGACTTAAGAGGAGCATGATCAGTCCATTCCCAGCTGCGGATGGCTTGACTGAAGGAACCACATTGTTGTGAAATCGCCGAGAGTGCAGCCGATGAGACAGCGCAAGGTGTTGATGGCAGCTCCCTTCCATGTCATGCGAGCTGTCCAAAACTTCGCTGAGGTTAAGCGCGACGCCTCGGTGGTTGCGCAAGAATGGGATTGTTGAAAATGACGAAGCCATGGCTACCATACCGCCGAAAATTAGAAGCTCGCCAGCATGGAAAGCGTGCCACACGCATGCGGCTCGCCAGGATCACCTCCGTCTTATTCAAGTGGTTGACAGAATATGGGACAGAAATTCAATGACAGCTGCCTGCGTGAGTACTGCCGCCTTTTCCCAAACTCGCCTATACCAGAAATGCTAGTGGGAGCAGTGAGCTATTTCCGTGGAATCAAACATGTACACCGTCTATTTCACCTCCGAAGCGTGTCCATTGTAATTGAGCATTCTTACTTACTCTGTGTCGCTATCATCTGCTCCTCAAGAACTACATGGCCTTGACCTGTGAACGACTTGTCTTTGATGTGTTAGGTAAGGCTCCTGGTCCAATGAAGTAGATCTGAACTTGATTTGGAATGGATGTTGGTCCAGGGCTACAGACAGAAATAATGAGCCCTGGACCAGCGCGACCCTTCCTACGTCAAGTATTAATGCAGCATTTTGAAACACGTGTTTGACGAGATTCTGTCAGTGAGATTAGAAATAGTGCAGAATGCGAAGGGCGTGAACAAGGCCTCATCGTGCGGATACACGAAATAGGATCGAGGGTCGATCCGCCTTCAGCGAATCTTGTCCTTTGCAGAAGAGTGCTCAAGTTAGAAGTTGCGCTAAAAGCTTTCACGGTTCACTATTCGTTGGAAGCGAGAGTCATGACGATCCTATTCGCAACTTTGGGAGTGAACCGCGACTGCCATCGTTGTTTTGCTGAGTAACACGAGACATGTGGAAGCTCCTGTAGTGTTGCCTACCCGTGTTGTCTTCTCGAATTCAGGCAGCAAATTCCGGCACCATCGAGACAGCTATGTGGGAGAATTACGTTGTTTATGCAAAGGAACGATCAGTACTAATTAAATGATGGTAAACATAGAGGCGGCTAAGAAGCGGCTTGAATGTTATTTTGAGCTGAGGGAGATGGACAGACAGTAAGGCCCGCTTCCTGCGATCCGCTTGTTGCATGTAGATTAATTTGGAGTATATTGAGCGATTCTTGAATCCAACTACTGCTCAATAATGGAGCTTCTCCGTCGTAGCACCTCGCCATCTTGCGTAGGAGGACCCTTGTAGTTCTTGCGGCCCCAAACAAAATACCACAGCGCTGAAACCACAGTACCTCCAATGAAGACAACAGATCCGTAGTTCATCGTTTCTAGGGTGGTAGGGTTGAAAAAAGGGAAGCTGAAAAGGGGAAGGACAAACATGGTCCACGCTGCGGAAGATTGTTGTTAGTAGAGTTCACATACCTCCAGAGATTCTGGAAGCTGACGCACCTATAGAGACGACGTTGCAAATTACACCAATGACACCAAAGTCCCATGAACCTGCAGATAGGTGCTTGCGTCCGCCAAACAATGAGGCTACAATCGGCATAACGTACGCAATGGTCAAAAAGATAACAGCAGAGCCGCTGAAGGCGCTGAAGGCAGCATAGGACCCGAAGTAGATCAGACCGAGCAGGATTTGGGTAGCCATGCTCAGCATCATGGCGTTCAGAGGAACATCGAGCTTTGCGTTGACCTGCTTCCACAATCCAGAGCCTGGGATGGCGCCGTCTCGTGAGAATGCCCAGACGCAGCGAGATGATGCAGTGGTAACGGCAA